GTATGGGCGACAAATGAAAGAGGTTGCACAGAGATTCCTTAATGGTTGTTATTATTATTATTAACCTTCCTGAATTCTAAGTCCTTCTAGTGCTTGGCTCCTGATATTTTTCTCATCCTGGAAAACTGGTTGGATAGGTAGGTTCTTATATTTCTTTTAATATTTGCTTTGCTTTCACTGGGGAAGTTAAAACTTTAGCTGCTAAAGGAAGGGCTATGGTTGTCATTTCCTATTTCCAAAAGTCTGCCAGTGGAACAGTTGGTGCCTGTTACAGATTGGCAGAAAATCTGACTCTTTCTTTCTGACTGGAACCTGGCAAGGTCAGGGGTGTGATCAGGAGCGACTACTACTTCATTAAAGAACAGGAGTAAGCTTTATTGAATTTTTCAACTTTCAAATTCCAAACATGAGGGGTGCTAAAAAGTTGTAACATGATTTAGGAATTGAAAAGACTTTTTGGTTAAATTAATATTATTTACTATTGCTTGGTAAGTAAAATGTGTGTAAAATTGTATAGAAATAATTAAAATGATTGCCAAGTACTTGCTGCTCAACTGCTGTAGTTGCTGCTGCTGCTGTTGTTGTTGCTGCTGCTATTTAGCATTACATGACATTTTCAGAAGGTAAAATTCTAATTCTTTGGTTTTCCAAAATCAGTTTATGTGCTTCTTGATCAAACGTAGACTTACCAAGCTAAATGTTGTCCAATCACAAAAAATAATAGCAGATTTGTATTCCTCACATGGAAAAATGTATTTTTAAGACTCCTCACTGAAGAAATTTGCAGTGATTAAGTCCCCCCCCCTTTAAAATGGCATGCCTTCGTACAGGAGCCCTGTCCTTCTTTGCAACTTGTCTATGGCAGCTGTAGTTGAAGATACAGCTCTGTTAACCAAGCAACTTCAGAAGGATGAATTTTCATATCAGGGCCACATCAGGCAGGGCCATATCAAAGGCCTTATATTGCCTGCCATTCACGGGAACTGTGATGTTACACGTGCTTATTCCTTTCTGTGTCTAAATAGGGCTCCAAATCTGAGCATGCACAGCCACAAGTAACTCATAGGTTCCAGCCATAGGTCAGAGGTTTCCCAGTTTAGTTTGTGACAGGATCTGAGATTGGGTGAAATTGAAGATTGACGATATCCCTGCAGATAATGCAACACCTTGAGACTGATGTTGAAGTCACTTTTAAATTATCTGCACATGCACAAACTGATAAAGCCCTTTCTTCTTAGAACGGCACCCAGCGAAAGTCTTGTGACTGTTTTAATAGCATGCAGCCGATAAACTGGGTTTCTGTAAGTGAAACCTATAACAGCCAAGTAGTACTGTTTAGTAAAAACAAACAAACTCAGAAACCAACCGAGAACTTTGCTGTGTATTAACATAAGAAACACAATAAACATGAAATAACCGAAAAATAAACAGGAGAAAAACTTGCCTGCAGAGAGAGAAACAATGGTTCTTATAAATAAGTTCTGATATGAAATATTTATTGGCTGTTTGCAATTCCGCAAACTGCTAAAAATGCCTCATGCTTGCAGGCAAATAAAAGGAAAACAGGTTACTTGCTTCTCCCCCCTCCCTCCTCCTTTCTCTTTCAATTAATTAAAGTGTGTTGAATGTGGAAAGACTTCGAAAGCATTTGACAGTATAATCCACAATGCCAGCAGAAATATGACAAGGCTAATCATTTAGTTTAAAGGAGTATAAGTTTGCCTTGCAGGCATGAGCGTCCTATCAGTTTTCTTGTGGATGGACAGTCAATAATGCTTTTCTAATCTCCTATAACCGGCAGAGGCCAAACATCTTATTACAAGCCACATTTTCTAAAAAAAACAAAACAATGCGGGGAAACTCTAATATTAGACCTGTCAGCAAAGGAGGCATGGCAGTAATTATTATTATGGTAGCATTAGGGAAGGAGTAGGTGGTGGGTTTGTTTTCTTTAATCAAAGCAATTATTACAATTGTAAGACTTTTAGAATTTAAAAGGCTCTGCTAATTTATTTGTCTTCCTTCTGCTCAGCCTGTCTTCACTGTGCTTTATAAATGACACTTCCTGCTCACTGTATGATCTCCCTGGTTGCTATTTAGGCCACGTGGGGACAGGAGATGCTACCCAGTCTCAACTGCCAAAAAGGTAACTACTTTTATGCACAGTGCCTGAAAATGAATCATAACTTACATTTCTAACAACAAATATTTCATTACTACTTTATTGTATTGTGAGTAGAGTGTAGCCTTTGCTCAAAATGCATTTCAGTGCTGTTACATAAAATCTAAATGCTGCTGTTACTAGAACTGGTAGTAAACATTTTGTTGATATAACCTGGCAAATATAGGCTGTTACCTACTTCAGATTTTCCAGAGATTTCCCTTCATTGTGGAAAATGTGCCTAGTTCTAGGTAAACTGCCAGGGATTCTGAAAACTGTAGGTTGATGGTGGAAATCAGAGCCGATAAATGGCTCCTTCATTTCTGCACAAGCACTTTAAAAACTCTTTGTATCCAGGTGCCTTTGCCTGCAAATTCCATCCACTTATGTAACAAACAACAACCCCATGTTATAGCTATTTTCAAGTTCCGCATTATAGTGAGTCGGGACAAGACAGAGTTTCGGAATTAACAGATGAGATCTAAACCTCAATAACAAATCAAATCTGAATGACACAGAGTGCACCTGAAGCAGACTGGGATGCTTCCAAACACTATGGACACAAAGAGAATCCTGTCGTCAGCACCATCCTATGCATGTCTATAGAAATTTAAGACATAATAATATATACTGGTATTGCTTTTGAGCTCCTTTGACATCCTTGGGCAAGCAACTGCCTCAACCCCATATTTATTGCATCGGAGTTAAAAATAAAAATCCTCACATTATAAACTAATTAATTTAAAATATAAAGTGCATAAAATAAACTAGAATATTCTACACTACTGTTGCAATTAGCTTAGTGTTTATAAAATCATGTCATGTCACAGAAGGTGGCACAGGAGAATATCCACATTTGCTGATTGTGTCATAATATGGATGCAAAGGGTGGTGTTTCTGTAACAATCATACTGTTGTTTCATGCACTATTTTGATTTGACATTGACTATTAATCTCCATGATACAGGATCTGAAAAGCCTTTTTCTTCTTTGGTTACTGATTAGTAAACCTGTTTATTAAAACTGTTTTAAGCCTCTCTAAAGCAATCAATCATTTGCTACAGCCAAGGTGCTACAGGGAATCAATAATGAACTACATTCCTGCTACATGCTAATTCAGAGTAGATTTTAGAGGGAAACTGTCTGGAAGCTTGTTGTGCAATTTTATAGTTGTAGCAGGGGCTGCTTATTAATTACTACAGTAGTTTTGGGACCATTACATTTATTCCAGGCAAACAAAGAGGGTGAGAAAAACAGGGTGGTGGAGTCAGTAGGCTTTTAAATTGCAGAGCTAGACACAGACAGAAACCAATGTCAGATGCATCTATACAAAGAAGCTTTCAAATGTTTTGCTTCTGGATGGCAACTAGACCTCATTCCAAATGACCTCTCAACATTACCTACTGTATAAGTTGGCAGAGAAATGAAGGAAACCATCACACCTAATTTCTCCATTGGGTAGAGAAATTCTCCAACAGATTCTCATGGAAGAGACTCACCATTAGCAATGACAAACAGTGTCTTCCTTTCTCCTTAAGGTGTTTTGGTTTCATTCTTTGCATTTGAGAACAGCAGCATTGGAATCCTGGCCAATATTTCCCATTCTGTGCCGTGCCCTGGATCTAGAATTGTTTGGGGACATGCGGAGGGGAAGCAGCCGCCTCTGCTACCAACACAGAAAGGTAGGTAGGAAATCTTCAGAGAATATTATGTGACGTTCCCTTTTCTAGACGAAAACTCCCTTTTCTCAAAAAATTGCCCTTTGAGAAATTTCAGTTCAGCACTAATAGCAACATTGCAAGCAGACTAAAGAGAATGTTGGGAGGTAACAGTGAGCAAGAAACATCTATTCCTTTCACAGACTGGATTATCAGTTCCCAAATTCCAGGATGCCTATAGGTTATTTCTTGCACGGAATGTAGCCATAACAAAGTCAATCTCCTTTGTTTTTTCAATGCTCTAGCTTCTGATCTATAATGTTCTCTATTACTTATTTATTATACTGTCAGGCTTTGGGGAATTGGCTTCCTCCCCCGTAAATGAGCAGATCAAACGATAGGAATTCTTACCAGTTAGTTTCTTTAATAAACACAGTAAAGGACAAAATAAAGTGTCAACCCAGAATGGCGGTGCTCCCAATTAAGGCTCACGCCCCCTCCATCCCTATTAATCTACGTCACTCCTACGTCTTGTAATCTGAGCTTGTATCCTTTGTGCTTTCTGTTCTGAGACTTTCTGAGTTCTTCTCAACCTTTGGCTGGGTGGAGGAATGCTGTCCAGAGACTGTGAATCTGTTAACCTTCTCTCTTCCAGTGTTTCTTCTCCTAGCTGTTCTCCTTCCAAAATTTCCCAGCTTCTGCCTTCTGAACGATGCCCCTCTGCAAACCACTGTTCCAAATCTATACTGTCCACCTGCTCCTGGGAAGATGCAGGAGCAGGGGGAGGGGGTGGCTCCCACCATTCCTCCTCGGTGCAGCCCTCCTAGGCACAGTCCCTGACAGATACCCTTACAAAATTCTTTGGACACTATCCATTATTATTTAGCACCAGTGGGAGTGTTGCCAAAATAGTGCCATAGGGCGAAGTAAAGCAGCACACAGGACATGAATGGGTAAGTATGGGTAGGGATGTTCTAAGACTAGAACCACCCAGAGGATATGGTGTTATAAAAGTGTCTGATTAATTAAGAAAAAATGTGACATTCAGTCCAAAGAGAGAGAAAGAGACAACTGAACAGCTCAGTAGTGTATCAACACTGAAGTCAATCATAGAATTGTAGAGTTGGAAGGGACCCTGAGGATCATCTAGTTCAACGCCTTGCAATGCAGGAATATGCAGCTGCCCCATACAGGGATCGAACCTACAACCTTGGTGTTATCAGCATCACACTCTAATCAACTGAAAAATTCGGGCTCTAGGCCCTTTCCAGTCTCATTAGCATACATTGAAATGACTATACTAAGCTTTTCTTCACAGCCATGTTAAAGATGAATCTACTTTGAAATGAAATGTTTCAGAATTCTGATGGATGCAATAGACATTGTGCTTAAAGCCACATGATGCTGAAGCAATGAAATAGCACCTCTGATTGAACAGAACAAGAATCATGCTGAAGCATACAGATACTGACTGTCACAGCTCCTCTTCATTTCAGTAGGGTTCGCATAAGAGACAATCTCTGGAAAGATCACATATTTTGCAAATTGCTTTAAAGTTCAAACAATCTGATAGGACAGCTACCCCAACCAGCAAGCGAGTCCCATCAAATTATCTTTTCATCTTCATTTTTTTCTCTTCCCACCACCCACAAATATACACGTTATTGCTAATACCTGTTGTTTTTCTCTTTCAACGTTACTGAAAATGGATCTTTCATTTACCTGGCAAAGCACTTGAATGGACTTCCTTACTGAGAAAATATATGTATGTGAACAGCAGGTGCCTGGTTAGGAAATTTAACTGGGGAAACACATATATGGCGCAAGGCCCATTACTGCATCACTAAAGTGTTCGGCGTCTCTCCAACTACTCTTCCAAGTCTGTTAATATGTGTACACTTCATGGCAATGATGGTACTTGACATTCTCAGGACAAAAGCGGGGGGGGGGAGCACTTTTGCACGTTAAAATTGTTGAGTATTAAGAGCACATATGAATCGTCTGCATGAGAAGTACGATTTGTGAGTCAGAATCTGATCAAGCACTATGGCAAGAACCTACATTATTTTACATGTCAATATTTTCAAAACACAATTAGATAAGCAACCTTATTAGAAAGCAGCATTGAAAATACCTACATTTATCAGAGAAGTACATTTGTGATAGCATACTATTAATTCCTGAACAACATTTTACACAACTCGTACATGTGAGTTGAAGTAAGAAAACATGTGGACAGTTGTACATGTGCTCAATCTGCAAACCAATTTACACGTGTAATACTGCACTGCACAGAAACAAACAAAAAATATGGCTTCACCTGTAGCCATAATTAAGCCTCTAACAGATAGGAATATTCAGCAATAATCATACATTACAGATAGGCAGCCTATGTTTTCTGTCCTTACCAATTTATTTGGTAAACTTTCACAAGTTCCCATGGTTATTATTAAAACCTTTACTCATTTTAATCAGTAGAAAATCAATTAAGCTTTAGTTGGCTGGGGCTGAGATTGAAAGGCACATTTGTTTATTTTTTTAATGCTATTTTGAGATTGGTCTATACAAAATAGGAAGTATTAAAGCTGTCCTTTCCTTCCAAACTGTTTAATAAACAGTTAATAAACAAAACTTGTTTATTAAATTTTGACATATTGATGAAGGTTATTTTGTTATTGCTTGTATGCTTTAGTGACACACCCATTTAACTGAGAGCAATTTTATATTAATTAATCATCAGATTATTGAATATTGTTTCTGACTGCATTTGACATTAAAGTATATCTTTTTATTTGAACTTTGCCTAGGATTATACAGATTCAATAAAAACAGTCTTCAAACATATTTATAGAAGGAAGATGATTAACTGGTTTATAGTTCTAACAATAATTCCAAATGCTCCAAAACAGTAGCTGGTATTGTGCAAAATTGTGCATCTCTGTTTATACATATTTATAACTTTATTTTTCTGTTATATTTCTAAGACACATTATTAGCAGTAGCTCCTCTGTCTTTCTAGAAATATAGACCCAGATATATCAATCTGTCAAGAACTACATTCACATTGGCATCTTAATGTATGTCATAAACTCCCTTTCCCCAAAGCAAAACACACCACCAAATTTTACAGAAAGAAGATTAAACTAGGACAGGATATATCCCGCTAATGCACATAAAGTTCTCTGTAACATCAGCTTCAGGTTTCATTAGTTTTGATGCTAATAATTTAAAGTAACTGTCAGAAGGATGCATGTGAAAAGCACGCTGATCTTAAAAGAGTGATGAATCCTATAATCATTTGGCGTTTTGAGGTAAAATGCCATTAAGTACATCAGAAACCTGACTTGCTGTACTAAAAAAAGGGGAAAATTCTGACTCAGATTCCAACCTGTAGGAGAGCTGCTGAAATCAAAAACATTTACGAGAAAAAAAGTGTCAGCTCCCAAAGTCTGATACCAACAATTATAATAGCGAGTGTAAAAATAATTATAAAATTAAATGAATGGATCAGGTGTCAGACTACTGGTTACAAGAACTGGGGAGGGAAGGAGTTTGGTAACTCCTTAATAGTGCATTGGGAACAGAACTCCACTGACAGCAGAACTTTACATAGAAATAGAAGATTTTTGAAGGTGTCTCTTCTGAGAAGTCAAATCAGTGCTCCGCCAATACCGCAACACTGGGCCTTGATTCAGAAGTGCATAGTATATGACTTATGATGAAGACAGACATAGCCTTTTAAATGCACTGGGGGGGATGTAGATTCACCTTCAACACCTTGAAAAGTAGGATTGAGCCAAAGCTCCACACCTTCCTTTGCAGCCTCATTTGTTAATACTTGGAAGGGGCTTCGAAGATGGGCGGAATCTACCCATTGAGCCAAAGGAAGAAAGTGCTTCTTTTCTAGCCTATGCTATGTTGCAACTCATAATACAGTACAGTGGTACCTTGGGGTGCGGACGCTTCAGGTTATAGACGCTTCAGGTTACAGACTCCACTAACCCAGAAATAGTACTTCGGGTTAAGAACTTTGCTTCAGGATGAGAACAGAAATCGCACAGTGGCGGTGCAGCGGCAGCGGGAGGCCCCATTAGCTAAAGTGGTACCTCAGATTAAGAACAGTTTCAGGTTAAGAACGGACCTCCAGAGACCCTTGGATGAATGGAAAAACCCACACAGGACTACAATTGGTTTCAACTCGCTTGTGGAGACTATCAGAGGTCCAAAGAAAAAGGAAAAATATATGAAAACAACAAGAAGAGATGTGGAAAACAACAAGGAAGGATTGGATAGAATTGTGAACATCATTTGGACAGATTTGTGGACATCAAAGCAGCAGTAACAAGATGATTGGATCCCTTTTGGAACTTGAAATATGGGTACCCCCAACAAAAATTTAAAATTTGGCTTTGTAATTTGGAATTAACGTGATTTGATTTGATTTGATTGGTCTGTTAATAAAAATTATTTTTTTTAAAAAAGAAAAGAACGGACCTCCAGAACAAATTAAGTTCTTAACCTGAGGTACCACTGTACTGGCTGGAAGTGAGTGAGAGAATCACACAGCATTGTGATGGCTGCAGGAGAGGGAAGTCACCCAATTTCCTAGGCAATCTGGTGATTCTCTTTCTGCCGATGCTCTGATTGACAGAATGGCCTGGTCTGGAAGAGATGTAGTTTTCTTAAGTGTGGTTAACTGGGGGCTTCACAACATGCAGGTCAGATTTACATTATTTCAGTTTGAATCCTGGGTTGCTCAGCCTTGTTTCTATCTCTATGCTTCAGCCAGGCAGGAAGTCTTTCTATTTTCTGAAGGGTAGATATATGAGAGCTATTTTTCTGTGCCTTCCACAACCAGCTTTTCTGTGCCTCCCACGACCAGCAAACGAGAAGGCCTGCTTGTTTTTGAACTTGTCCCTGAAGTGGAAAAGGCATGTACACACTGTGTTGAGGGTACTTCCAATCTGTTCCTCACTAATCTACACATTTTTTACCTGGTTGCACACATTGTGTGAGTGTGATTAACATGCACAATTTTTGTTATGTAAATAGCAGCCTGGGGAGCCTCACAATCATGGGATGTGAAGCTGAATTCTTCCCATCCCTGCCACAGGGTTGTCAGAAATTGCCTCTCTGAAAGTGCCTGGCAGATTTCTCATTCCCAATAACAGCCTGTAGGGTCCCCTTCAGAGTCCCAGCATGGTTATTTACCCCTGGGTTCTGCCCAGTGAGTTCTCAACTCCCCAGGGAGGAAATGACTCTTCCCACCACTGGTTCCTTTTTGTAATATGCTGTCCTTGTAATTTTTCTTTGGTATCTCTGCCTCGCCATTGAGGCTGTAACCTCAACCCTCTCCCTCCCATCTATTTCTCTCCCTGCCTGGTCTCTATCACTGCCAGCTTTCTCTGTCTTCCTTTTATTTCATTCTCATTCAGTACTCAGCTCCATTGGCTTTGTTGGTGGTAGACGTTCTCCCTTCCTTGCTGTTCATCCCTGTTCCAAAGGCCCAGTATTTGTCACCAAAGTTTACCCACTTTTCTTCTCTGTGTTTTGGGCGTCTCCTCCTATCTCACTCCCCGGCTCCCACCAGTCATCCTTTAAGAGGCTGCTGTGAATGCGAGGGCTTGCTCCCTGCACCACCATGGCATGTTGCCTCCAGCTCTTCACACTGCAGTTTGTAAGAGAAGCTCCCACCAGTGGCTATTAGTGTCACTTCTAGTTCAGTCCTAAATCAGTCCTAAATTAGTCCTAAATCAGTTACAAAATGGTTAAGCACGAACTGTTCAGGACACCCCAATAAATATTATATCCCACTACACAAATCATCACACAAATGCTGTGAAACTCCAGTTTGACTTCAGTTCTCAAGCCCTTCACTCCTATGAAGCTTCCCCCCCCCATATAACTTTAACTGAGTTTCACCAAGAACCTAAAAAGGAGGCATTATGCAGTACATCCTTGAATAGCCTCTTCTACGGCTTTTGTTTGGCCACTTAGCAGCTCTAGTGGGAGTTGAACAATGGGGAAATGGCACACTGGGAGATAGTGTTTAACATAAACACCATCTCCAACTCCTTGAAAGATTCTATCAATGGTGTCTCCGAAAATTTTTACACATCACTTGGGAAGACAGGCAAACTAATACCAGTGTACTGGAAGAAGCAAAGATCATCAGTGTCAAAGCAATGATTCTTCAACATCAACTTCGTTGGACTGGTCATGTTGTGCGGATGCCTGATTATCGACTTCCAAGGCAACTACTTTATTCCGAACTTTAAAATGGAAAGCGTAATGCTGGTGGTCAACAAAAGAGGTTTAAAGATTCTCTCAAGGCAAATCTAAAAAAAATGTAGTATCAACACCAGCAACTGGGAAACACTGGCCTGCGAGCGCTCCAATTGGAGAACAGCCTTTTCCAAAGGTGTCATGGACTTTGAAGATGCTCAAACTCAGGATGAAAGGGAGAAACGAGCTAAGAGGAAGGCACATTTGGCAAACCCTCACAGTGATCAACTCCTGCCCGGAAACCTATGTCCCCACTGTGGAAGGACGTGTGGATCCAGAACTGGCCTCCACAGTCATTTACGGACTCTCTGTTAAAACTGTGTTTATGGAAGACAATCTTAACATATTGCTCCCACTCCCTTTTCCTGAAACTAAATAGCTCTATGAGCTGCCAGTTACATTCCCGCACCCGACCCCACCCGCTTCCTAAGCTAATATCAGCTTTGGAAGAGGATTGCAGATTTGGGAAAGGACACAGGAGGAAAGGATTAAACACCTTAGTGCTTCTTTCCCAGTTGGCCTTCTAATTAGTTAGACAAACTAGTTAGACAAAACCCATGGGAAATTCTAATACAAGATCCCCTGTGTAGCATCTTGAAAAATGTTACCCTAGGATTACACACCTTGGGAAGGAGCTTTGAGGCCTGCAACTGAGTTTTATACTGAAAATGAAGGCTTGCCCATAACTATTCACCACTTTATTATTGCAGAACTTTTATGAGCATTTTCTAAAAAATTGTAGAGTTTATTTTGCAATCACATAGCCAAATTGGGAAACACTTTCTGTTAATAAGTTTCCTCCCATTTCATACCACCATCCCCCTTCTGGTATATCATGATTTTCATTTACGATCTCAGTAGATTTTCAACTATCTAGGGAGTGTCACAGTTCACACAGCAGTAAAAGGAAGCACTTAATTATTGAAATAAGCTAATCTTGTTAGCATTGCCGTGGGAGGATCATATCTCCAAAGAATTCAATAACAAAAGAGATCTGCTTGTATATACGAAGACTAGGTGGCGATAACTAGACCTCAGCGTCAAATCTAACACTTTGAACAGTATCAGTGTCTCCCTCAGCTGGCAGGCACAAGGTATGCTTGGAAGAAGTGGTGATTGTGTAATGGGACTTCCTGGCAGCACTTTGGGAAGATGGTTGGAAGTTTAACCCCTTGTCTCAATCATCTCCAGAAAGTGGCCCTCTCATAATAACTCCCTTCTTATACTGACTCATAACTGAGCATGGAATATGGCCTTTTGGAACCTCACACCACATGGTCATGATTAATATAATTTGGGTACCAACAAAATACAGATGCAAATCAGAACCAAAATACCTAACATGAACTGTCATCACTAAAGCATGCATGGGTGGGGAGGGAGAGAGACTGCTATATCATCACCTTATCTTGAACTACAAGCTCCTAGTTAAACACAACTGAAAAATGCAGAGGGATATTGAAGCCACTGGATCCATAGGTCAGTGACAAAGCACATGCTTGATATGCAGAAAATGTCCCAGATTCAATCCCCGTCAAGACCAGTAAAAAGGGCTTCAAGTAGCAAATATCAGATAACAAGGCCTCAATCATACCAGCTTCACCACACTTAAAATGACTTCATCCCCAGCAATCAAACTAGTATGATAGAGCTAGCATTGCTCAGAAGTACAAAAATACAAAACATTATACTGGAAAAAATATGCAGACTGAAACATGGTCAACCTTTAAAATTTGTTGCTTTATGAATTTTTCAACGCAGCTCTCCAGTACAACAATGGAAATGCTATGTAGTAAGATGTGCGTTGAGGGTGTAAACATGAGTGAAAAAAACATGCGGAAATGCATTAGATATGGGGAGATTGCTTTGCAGAAATGTGTGTATTAGGCAAAATTGTATACAAAAATGTGTATGCTAGAGGACATGCAGGTGAATTGCACAAACTCTGCTGGAAATTTGGAGAACTGAATTTAAGACGGGGGGGGAGAGAAACTGAAATTGGCAGATTCATGCATTTCTTTCTGAGTAAGTAGGAACTTGATGTTTTTAAAGCACTATATAACCTATTTGATCAGAGGTCACAGTAGACCTTAAAAAAAATATCCAGGCAAATACAGTGATAATAATGGCTCTATTGTATTATCTTCAAATTTCTGAAAAGAATTACTGTATTTTTTGCTCTATAAGACTCACTTTTTCCCTCCTAAAAAGTAAGGGGAAATGTGTATGCATCTTATGGAGTGAATGCAGGCTGCGCAGCTATCCCAGAAGCCAGAACAGCAAGAGGGATTGTTGCTTTCACTGCGCAGCGATCCCTCTTGCTGTTCTGGCTTCTGAGATTCAGAATTTTTTTTTTCTTGTTTTCCTCCTCCAAAAACTAGGTGCGTCTTGTGGTCTGGGGTGCGCCTTATAGAGCGAAAAATACGGTATATCCAGTTTTACATGGTATATGGCCCAAACATTATGTCTTGTTTTTAAAACCAGCTGCTTCACCAAGATTTTGTTTAAAATAGTAACAGGAATGAAAAGCATCAAAAAGCAAGACTTCAACCCCAACCAAGCAAAATCACAAACACTACCAGAAGTGATTTCTGCAATCTGCTTGGGAAAGTGCTAAGGGAAACAGTAAGGCTGATTCTAAGAAACAGATGATATTTAAAGAAAATGAAGCTTTTTTTAAAAAAAAGTGTTTGAAATGACACAAATGAATATCCAATGATAAATGTTATCACTGGAAACAGAATGTTTCTTGTAAAATACGGCATGTGTGTGAGATGGCAGTTTTGCCTCCGTTCTGAATACCTTGAGAAACAACTGATAAGGCTTGCTTTAAAAATGAAAAGAAAGCACAATGTTGTGAAATGAAACTAGTAGAAATGTGTACAACGGAGCTGCATCATACACACATTTAATTTATGTAAATTCAACTATACGCATTTAGCTGCAGCTTCCACAAAAGTGTCAAGGAACCCTTTTGCTTCCCATGTTCCTCCTTCCCTCTTATAGGATCCCATTGGGGTGGACTTTGGTTTTCAGATTTCAATGGCACCCTGTGTGAGACCAAAATTTGGTGCCCCCCCCCACACCTCTTGCCTTCCATTCTGCTGAATTCACTACATCATAGTTGTGACACCCTGCAGTGCCCCCTAGGTCTGGCACTCAGGGCGGTGGAACCAGTTGCCCTGCCCTCTGATCTCATTTGCCAGTTGAAGGATCCATTCCAGCCTCTTCATTCTTCCTCAACGGGACCTGCTTGACATTGCCTCTATCTGCCTACCTTCTTCCTCCTACTTTTTTTTTTTAATCCTTTCCTGGATTCTTCCCCCTTTTGGAAGGTCCTTTCTGCTGGTCACTTGCCTGTGGAGAGGCAGCAAAGAGATGGAGAAGGAGAACCCAAGGTTCTTGAACTATACTCAGAGTAGAGAGTGAATTTCATGCTCTTTATTCAGCTCATAGTGGTGAGAAGGAATGGAAGTTCCCCCATAATGTCTGCTTTATATACATTATTTACGCAATGGGCCCCAAGTAATTGACTAATTCTGGGATTCTCCTGTAAGCCAATCAGGTTGCGGATTCCCTTCCACCTGGAGCTGGATTGGGTGGCTCCTGTGGACCAATCAGACTGCTGCATTCTGGATCCTATTGTTCTAGGACCAATCAGACTGCTGCATTTTGGATCCTATTCAACTCAGTACATAACAGTTCTCCTTGCCCCACGACAGCTAGCTAGTAGCCAACATGTACCAGAGCTCCACCAGCCAGAGGAGAAGGCAGGAAAGCCCTTCTCTCCCTTCATCGATCCATGCAGTTCCTGCTCACTGGCCCCAAGAAGGCACAAGGACTGAGGGGGGCACTGTCGGCATGTAGCAGTGCCCCCAGCCAGATGAGGAAGAGTGAGTGAGCTGGAAGACTTCCTTGAGCCCAAAGTTCAAGAGTGCACTTTGGGGACATTTGAATATTATTTTGACTATACATGATTTTCAGCTTACCTGCTGACTTTAGAACCTAACCAAGACGTATTATAAAGCATTGGTCTCAACTGGTTGGTTGGAACCCACAAGTGGACTGTGTTCAGCCTAATTTGAGTCGCACCTGAATAGTAATAGTAATTTATTATTTGTACCCCGCCCATCCAGCTGGGTTTCCCCAGCCACTCTGGGCAGCTTCCAACAAATATTAAAAATACATTAAAATGTCACACATTAAAAACTTCCCTGAACAGGGCTGCCTAAAGATGTCTTCTAAAAGTCTGATAATGGTTTATCTCTTTGACCTCTGATGGGAGGGCATTCCACAGGGTGGGCGCCACTACCGAGAAGGCCCTCTGCCTGGTTCCCTGTAGCTTAGCTTCTCTCAGTGAGGGAACCGCCAGAAGGCCCTCGGCGCTGGACCTCAGTGTCCGGGCAGAATGATGGGCGTGGAGAAACTCCTTCAGGTATACTGGGCCGAGGCCATTTAGGGCTTTAAAGGTCAACACCAACACAGCACATAGCCATTTTATTTTCCTTTACTGGGGGTGGGTGGAAGAGCAAATGGAGATATAGGCACTTTGGAGAATAAAGGGGTGGGAACAACAATCACAGTGAAAATAAAGAGAACCATGAAAATTTTCAGTGAAAAAAAGGCAATTGGCTTTGCCTCAATTCACCCTTAAACTTTACTTGAATTCAGGACCTTAATTTATCTTCCTCTCCTCCCTTTCCATCAGTCTCCCAACTCCTCCTTCTCACAATGTCCTCATTCAAAAACCCATCAGCACAAGTTCAATTAACTGCTGAGTCTTTGGTTTTCTGGCACGGCCTTTCTTGAGATATACTTTCGTCACACGACAAACTAAACCACAGACTCCATCCTCTCACACCTTTCCCACTAATTATTGATTAATTCATTTTGCTTTCACATAGCAGCTTTTCATTTCAGTAGCTCCAGATCCCAGAAGGCACCGATTTCCCCCCAACAGCAGGAGCCTAATTCTGTATGGATTTCTCAAAACTAAAATGCGACAAGTCAGACAGCTACATACACAATGAGAAAGTTACACTCAGGTTCCAAGCAGATTGACAAATCTTTCTATTGCTTGAATCTCTATCAGGCTTCACCTACTTATGCATTTCCTTCTAAGACCCCAACCTACATGTTACACTGTGGATATATGCAATGATAGATGGTTGCATCTCTGTTGCAGAGGACCCTTGGGAACAGACAGTTTTACAGGGTAGAAGAGAGGTCTTGAGAGTGTGAAATTCTTTGCCTACCCGTGATTTCTCCCTGAAACATCCCAAATTGCTGTGTTTCAAATAAATTTTTGCCCTGGTCAAGGTGGTTCTTTTTTAAAAAGGTAACACAGGCTAATGTTAAACAGCTGAAATGCAAGAGCCCCACTCTAATTGTATTTGATTTTTAAGAAAATGTAAGCTGCCTTGGGGAACAGAAATAAAAGATTTTTTTGTCCTCTTCTACATAGTCATATCTTTCTTTCAGTATAACACCCTGTCTCTGCATTGAAAGATTTTACAGGGACTAGAAATAAAATATCACATTTTGTTTCCCAAGTAGGACAGGTCTTAGTTATACCAATTATACTATAATTCACCTGGAAATACCTACAAGTAGAGCTTAACATTTTCACAATTACGCTCACTGTCTCAGTGTTGGAATATTTTAAGGAATATAGCACATTTGAGAACAATTTTCTGGACTCCATACTGACAGCCTAAAATTGTTATCTTTCAAGGCTTAGGTGTGTGAGAAATTAGAAAATATTATTTCCACAGCTAACGACTTTAGTGCTGTGAGCAAGATCAGTTCCACCAGTTGTTCTAAAATGGTAGCATTATCCCTAGGGAATTAGAATGTAACTCTCCTTCTGTGTGAACAGAAAAGCAGAAAAAAGAGAAAACATTGTTACCCTCCGCACATCTTTCCCGAATGTTTCACTGTAGCTGGTTCCAAGGATTTCAAACTGGACGTAGGGGTTGGCACCATCTTCTCTGAACTCCATAACACCTGTGAGACCAGTGATGTGACCCTAAGGAAACAAGGTCATCAGTTTTAGGACATTTATTATATAGATCACAAAAGTAGTCTAATGAAACTGAAAGTAGCATCATGTATCAGAAGCACCACAGATGCTCACAATAGTCTACAAACACAAGAACCCATTTTCTAAAAATAGAACCCATTTTCTAAAATAAATAGATTTTTATGTAAATTGTACATTGTATGATCTTAATCTACATCAGTGAAAAATAATAATCCTTTTTTAAAAGGAACCCATTCTGTAAAGAAACTAGAGAATGTTGGCAAAGACCATTTAATACTCATAAGCACCTGTGGGAGATTTAACACACACTAGAACTGCCAAAAGAGCAAAAAATATTTTATTTGGATCTAAAACAGAATTCTGCTGGGGCCTTGTGGAGATGTAAGCCATACTTGGCATGTCTGGATAATGTTGGGGACTGACCACAAGCTAGAACACAAAACCACAGTTCTCATTCTTCATGCCTAGAGTTGCAAGTAAGAATGGCATGACTATTCAAAGCTAGGATGCTAAATTCAAGCAGGGCACAGCAGGCTGCCTCCAATTGGGGATCTTAACCTACGCTTGTCCTCCCAGTTTCCCCTTCTCCAAAGAAAAATCACTTACCTCCGCTAAGTAGAAGGGGGTAGAGGGCTCCAATCATGAAAAGAGACACCTGACTGCTAAATCCCATTATCCCCAGCAGCAAATGACACTCCAAGGTCATTTGCAATCAATGAGGAGGCTTATGGCAGCAGCCAACGCTACACAATGTGACATTTTCTGCCAGGCATCATGGGGCACAGGTCCTCCTCATGCCACGTAAGGGCCTTCACCACTTGTTATTTCCTCCTCCTTCCACAAGGCTTTTGTTTTGTTGTTTCATTTTATATTGGGAAAGAAGGGGACTGGTGGGTGGGGCAGGGCAGAGGCGATACAAAGCCCAGATAGGTCTATGTCGGCATTCACAAAACCTCTTGCAAATTCTTCCCTTCATTTGCCTTGACCGTTGCCTCAGAAGAGCGAGGAACATTCTCAGGGATGACTCACACCCTGGCCAGCACCTTTTTAATATCCTGCTCTTGTGCAGGAGATACAGAAGCATGAAAGGCCACACCAACAAGTTAAAGAACAGTTTCTACCTGTAGGCTGTGAGGCTGCTGAATTGAAGACAGCAACATTACAGCTGACGTTCGGGTTTGGTGGTCGTACGACAGTGTAACAAGGACTGAGAGATTGGGGGGGGAGGGGGGCTCGTTTAATCTCACTGTAAGCAAGTGGTACAGTGACAATAAAGTATTTCTATTCTATTCTCCCTGAATCGTGGCCAATGTGTTCCCCAGCTCACCCTCTGTTTTCCTCCTGATCCTGCTATGCCAAAGCAACATGAATTCTTTGGTAAGGAAGCTTGCCTGCTCAGTCTGCCCGCTGGGTTTCCATTTTCCTATTCTTACCTTCTTAATCGTTTCCAGCATGGAGCGGCCTCCGTTCCAAGGCTTGGTTGATTTCCTCATGCAGTTCAGGCTTGCCATGCTGTGCCACTTCCTGTCCTCCAGCTTTCTGTGGAAGGCGTTGGCCAACATAAGCACACTGTCATAGAGATAGAGGTTGGAGACCTGAAAACAGGGACAAAAGAAAAACGTACATATAGATATGAGGAAATTGTCAAAGAATCCCCAATATGTTTAAGGGTATAGTGGGGTAGGCAAAACCAAGCATGGAACTGATTCATATATAAAGCAATGGCAAGCCCATCATGTAAATAATTGTTGATGACCTATTTTGCTATGGTTTCCACAAACGACAGCAAGATACAGAAGGAATCAGCACTCTGGTAGAGCACATGCATTATATGTAGAAATTCTGGGTTTTACTAGAATAAACCCATTGAAATTAATGGACCTAACTTAGTCAGGTTCTTTACTTTCAATGGGTTGACTCTGAGTAAGACTCTTGAGTAAGTCAACTGAGATTACCATCCTCTGAGTTGAATACCTGGCATCTCTCTATAGCCAGAATCCCATATCTCTGTATTTTCTTCCCCAGATGAATTCAATGCAAAATGTTCATTCTTGACCCGGTTAGGCTGCTGACAAAGAGCCCACATAAATCTACAAATTGGATCCTCCTTTTAGAGTGTCTGCGTTGCGCGTGGGCCATGCCCCCCACACACCCAGGGGAAGGGGAGGGGGATGATCCTGAGCCCACAGTGGCCCCACAATTGTGCCACTGGCCTGTTGGCCAATTAGAGAGTGGTGGCGTGATTGTGGGGGCCTCTAAAAGGCTTCATCTGGCTTCATGCCACTGAACACCGCCCACCCACCCTAGTTTTAAGTGTCCACTTTGGCCTTGCTCTGGACACCGGTTGGCTGCCTGTTTTGGAACAGGGGCCAGGTAGGATTTTTTTCCATTTGGCAGATTGGCACTGGCCATTTGGTTTTCGCCTACCTCTTAGCAATTGTCACAACTCTATAAGGTTAGGCGGTGAGGCATTAGCTTAGTGAGATGTGGGGGAGGGGAGGTGCGGCCATCACCTGCCCCTCCAGGTATTCCATTAGAGAAATCAGTGGGTCTGGATCTCATCCAAAGTCTGCTTGAGGGGCTAGGGCCATGCCAACACCCAACGGGAACCCCGGGGTGAGCTTCAGTTGGTTGCCATCGACAGAGCTCCCTCTGTTGGTGGTTTACCCTTTCAGACTTCCTGCAAAGTGGGCAGGAGTCAGTTATAGTTATGGCCAATGCCTAAGCCAATGCCACTCACATTTCTGTAATCAATAAAGTCATGGCCTAAATTTTGCCCATTAACCTTTAAACTAAAATTCTGTGTCAATGTGTTTTTATTATTCCTGGGGGTGTTCACCTGGGCCTTGATGCACAAGTCTCTCTCTCTCTTTTTAACCTCAGTCGCTCTCCAAACAAGCTGATATCTGAGTTTGCCTCTAACACCTTGAAAGCATGTCTAAAAATTACAAAGACAAAACTGACAGCAGATTAAATATGATTATTTTAAGAGCTCTGAATTGTGACTTGGCCTTACAGGCCCATTTTTGCATCCATGCCCAAATTATAGAAAGGGCAGGAAACTCTGATTGCCCTACACTTTTGATGCTATTGCACCAATATCACTAAATCTGAGAAGGTAGCTCTAGGAGACTCAAATCAGAGTGCCAATGGAGCTGCAAAAATAGCCAAAGTTTAACCTCAGGGGATTTGAGTCTGCAGCTCATTATTCTACCCAACTCCAGTTTTTGTCTCTTCATACCATATTTCAAAAGCCAACGTTCAAGCAAGTATTTGTCATTTAGTTGGACTCCCCGTTCTCCTTTTATACTGAGCTTCTCATCGGGGTTCTGTAGCTCACTTAAAAGCAGGTTTTACGCATAGAAGGTGAAACTATACCATTTTGTTTAATGTACCGAATGTGAGAGACCAGATTCCTTCTGCTTCCTGATGAATTCCATTTCACACCCACACTTCATATTAGTAATTCATTGTAGAGTTGAGTTTTAGTAGCCAGCGTGAAATGCACTACACATACTCTCAGGTTTGAACTGTTCTATTATAGTTCTGGAGAGAGGGAAGTCACAGCATCTTTTTCCAAGAATACACTTTCTCTTTCTCTCTATAGAAAGCTCTAGGACTGACTTCATGTTCTATCTGCCACAGTTCCTGCATTGCTATATTCCCCATCCCTGGGTATTTACCAGACAATTCCTTCTTGAGGTATATATAACATGTGGTGCCTTTTCAAAAATTCCTTATTTTGAAGACTGTTCATTCTGATCATCTATATATATATATTTGCCCAAAAACTGCTGTTTGAGGACACAGACAGCTTGCCTATTTCCCATTTCCCTCACTGTTTGCAGCAGGGATGGGAAATCTGTGGCTCACAAGATGTTGGGGGACAATAGTTTCCACAGTCGCTGACCATTGGTCCTGATAGCTGAGGCTCATAGGGGTTGGAGTTCAACAACATCCAGAGGCCCACAGGTTCCCCATGCCTGGTTTATGGTATTTAGTATGTGTGCTCTCACTCTAGGTTTTTTGTTCCTTGTTAATGTGCACGTTCTCTTTAAGGCAGAATCCACTTCTCTCTCATATGCCTGAAGCACAAGTATTTTCATATGTTTAGATGGGCAGGTAGAATGGAGGGGGCAGATGTTAGTGGAAAATAGAACATTCCAGAGATTCAAATGGTGACAAGAAGTGACGGGCAGGGAATCCAAAAATCAAATAGTAGAAAAGGCGGGTGCCTTTGACGTCGTTATTGGCAATGCATAGGGTTGCAGCTATATTACACCAACACAAGAAGCACGGCTGTAAGCAGCTGCTTATAGGTAGGAAATTGGGGACTGAATAAATTTCAGATTGAGAAAATGAGCAAAAAGCACAGGGTAGGAAAAATAGTATACACTATTTCCCATCACATTTCAGACCACTCTGATCCTTTGTCAGGGAAATCTACAATTTTAAATATTTATAATTACAGAACTGAGTATTTTAAGCTTAATAACCAATCAGTAAAAATCATGACAGCCTTAAAACAAGAACTGTTCAAAAAAAAAAAAAAAGTTCAGAAAATATACATGAATTCAAAGTAGAGATACACATCATTCAAACTCTGCATCTTCCACCAGCGACTTACTAAAATCACTCCACACGGAAAGGCCCCTTCAAACTTTGCAGTTCACTGCACAGAAGGAAAACAACACCACCACAAATGTGTTTCCAGATCAGGGTCAAACTAATTTCCCCCAGTTCCCTCCCATGCTTTAGATACAGCAAGAACCTTTCCAGCTACTTTCCCTCCTTTAAACATGACATTCAGAATTCCACATTGCTGTCACTTCAAATCCCTTTCAGGGGCCCCATCCGTTACGGACTCATAGAAGTGAACACGTTTCCCTCACACAACTCTCTTCTGGTGTCAGAGAAGATATTTACAGCATCACACTTTTGCTGCCAAAAATGGAAATGCTGTGAAGGAGGAAAGGGGGGAAGCTTCCTCACATTTGTTACCTCAAGCACCACCACAAATCTCAATTTGCTGCGAACACCCACTGCACATGGAGGTGCATGATAACAAGGAATTCATGTAAATTCCTGAACCGCTATGCAAGCCCTGCCCAGGTGGTCTCAAGACATGAGAAAAGAGGAAACTGAAGAATTATCTCAGGAGCAGTGTGCCTCGATTGGTAGAAAAGGAGTGCTAAGGAGAAAATAAAAACAAGGTCACCACTTTTGATTTGGGTTTACTGAGTTGTGCAGCACTGCTGATTTTTCCTCATTACACACTTGGGAGAAGGAATACTTTATTTTATTCAGACAATTTGTTTCCTGCCCCACATCTGGAGATCTATGAGCAGGTAAAAATAACATTTCACAAAACCAAACACAATACACTAAAAACGCAAGAGTAGAAACGGCCGTTAAAACCACCTCAAGTGAAAGCTTAGAAATCTGAGCAGAAAGGCAGGTTTTAACCTGGTGCCTAAAAGTGCCTGAAATATAGGTTGATTTCAAGGGGGAGGAAGTTCCAAAGTCAGGATGCCACAATGGAGAAGCCCCTTTGTTACTTTCAATACATTTCTAAATATGCACATAAGAACAGCAAGACAACCATCTCCACTGCAAGACCCAGGTACCTTTTACTAGACACATACAAAAGTACTTCTTATTACTTTTGCATAATACATCCTGAAATAATTGGTGATATTGTCCATCTTCATTATAATCCATGTTCTTTGAGTATCTTTTCAGGAGCTCTGGTAGTGTAACATGTTCAGCAAGTGATGTCAGAATGAAGACCTAGTATTCATGGAAGGAACCCTCCAATGTAGCTCCTCACCATGCCAGCATCACCTTGTTTGGAAACTTGGTCAACATGGCCACAAGAAGCTCCCTTTCATATGTCAAACTGCAGCTAGAAAAGGAGGTGCAGGAACTCACCATGAATTCATCCCTTGTTTTCATATAATGGCAATGGTGCCCACCTGAGAGGTCCCAGAACTAAGTGAGTTCTGGCTGAAAAAATAGCCCTGAGAAAAGAGATTTGTTAGAACAGCCCCCATCCAGTGAAGGTTACATGCAAAGGGCCTTCACTGATGCATTAAGGCTGCAATCCTATACTTCCTTGCCTGGGAATACACCTCGCTGAACACTGGGATTTCCTTCAGAATGTACTTGTATAATCTTGCACTATGGGATGATTCGCACATTAATGAATAATCCCAGATCAAACACTTCAGAGAAGTTTTGGTATCATCCAGTGTGGCCTAAAATTGATGCTCGTCACTGGAGCCACTTCACACATTAAGCTCCGAGTCAGAAAGTGCTGAGGAAGGAAGGTAAATCAAATCAAAATCAAGTGTATGTGTGTAGGTCAACCCCATACAGGGTCCATTCCAAACTAGGTTAAAAGGGGACTTGGAAATCCAGGAGCAAATTACTGGTATGGTGAACTGTCAACCTCACCCAGCAGTCAGGAACAAAGAGGATATAATGGTGAAAAGGGGGGAACCTGCCTACAACTTGGAACGTTCTACTGCTGAGCAAGTTCAATAGATCAGGATCAATTTCTTTCTTTCTTTTTTTGGAAGTTACTCTTTCAAACTTTCTGTTCCTTTAATCAAAAAGAAACATCTTTCAGGAGAATAAGGCAGCTCAGCAGGAGAATGACCCAGTATCATACCTATGGCAGGTTCAGAATAGTCAGCAAGGCTAGGTATCGAGTTAGACAAGAGGACAATGGGGAGAGACACAAACTAGGAAAGCAAGCTGATTGCCAGATGCCATTGCTTGAATAATGTGTTCTCAGGCTGAGTATCCCAAGACTTTCAGTTGCCAAGCACACTCCATGAGTGGACACAACTGTCATCTGTCAAGACTGTAGCAGATGGAGGTAACTGAAACACATGCCACTCTTCCAGAGGCAGAATTTTCTGGAGTTTTAGAGCCATGTGTATTCACATGGTAAGGTATTATGAAATTCTACTATATACTTAAAGCTCAAAGAGACAGAGTCGAGCCAAAACAGAACTCATCCTGCCTCATCTGTACGAAGTTTGTGGGAAGGTTATATGACGCTGGATGCTTACTGACCATTCATTCTGATTTGTTTGTGGGGAAGTTAGATGACATCCTATCAAGGAGTTGCTACCCCATACTTTTGATCCTGCAAAAAAGTCAATTTCTTTTGGAAGCAGTTTTGCACACAAATGCTTGTAAAGCGAGCTTTAAAATGACCTAGGAAATGAGAAAGCTTTAGGCAAAAATTTGGTCCAGAGTTTCAAACCAATATACATGAGCATCAACCTTCCTTACTTCAGCTATTCCCCTTCCAATTTGTTCTTTTCTTCTTAGACCCCTCCCTTCTGGTCTTACCCTTTACTGTTCATTCTCCTGGACCAGTCCCTCCCAACTCTTTCCCTTTTCTAAGCTGTGTTCTAGAAAAATCACAAAATTGGAGAGATTGATGGCACAGCAGGCTTTGGAAGCTAGCAGTAGCAGAGAAGCTTCCCCATCAGGTTTTTGTGACCAAAGGGCTAGAAAAAGCAGAAACAGATTTTGTTGTGTCAAATGGCTTTCTTTCTTATCCTACATAAAAATAAAACAACGAGTCCCCCTCTACCCCCAAAAGTATGTTACAGTTTGGAATAATTAAAAATCATCCAAGTCAGAAATAGATGAAGTTTGTGGTTGACATACTTATGGGATCAGCATTTGCAGACTGAAAAGCGTCTTCTTTTGTTTTATTTGAAACAAAAGAAAAATTATGTACTGTTTGCACTCTGTAATTTGTATTGTAAGGTTTCTTCATAAAAGGGGGGGGGACCCAAAAGAAAAAAGAAGAGCAAAAACAAAAGAGCCATTCAAATAGATTCAGTCCATCTCATATGACAGTGAGGTTTCTCCTTTTTTAAATACAGCTATTTTCTGCTACTTTGTCCATTCTAGTTTTTAAAAGACTCAAGTGACAAGACTTACAGTCATTTCTTTCAGCAACTCTTTCACTATTTAATGGATCACCCTGTCAGGGAATTTTCACCAATACTCGGTTTTCATTTCTTTTTTCTTCATTTTGCTCTTTTACACACAGTTATAACTCCCTGAACAATTTCTCTCTGTCTCTGTTGTTCATATCTTTCAAGTAACAAGTGTCCTTCAGTTACTTGCATAACCCCCCCCCCACAGAATCAACATCCTTCTGAGAGTAACAAAAGATTTATAGTAATCAGAGGACACAAATTCAATCTCAACCGTGTCCCTTAGGCAAAAACCCCCCAACAACCCCTGATTGACAAAAATGACTTGGCTTCTGTTTCTGAGAGCAGACTGACAGTCATTGGGTTATTCACACAAATTCTATTCCTGTTCTTTTCCTGTTATCATCCCATATCAAACCACATTTCTCCTTCACATATTTCCAAAGCACTTTGAAAGGCATGTCCACATGGCTGGACCAGTGGCAGAGCTTCATGCTCCAGCACCGGGGGTGGAGAGAAGGTGGGGGCAGGGTGTGGGTCCCGGAGGCATGGCACGCTGCCTGCAGGGGCAAGGGGTGCGTCCTGGGGGCGGGGGGCGCCGCCTGCGGGGGTAGGGCGCCCAGTGCAGGCAGGGGGGCAGCTGCAATGGCACCCTGGGGATCGCACTGCCGGGGGCGGTGCACTCCCCCCACACTCCTCTTCCTCTGCCAGTGGGCTGGACCTCATAGATGATGCTGTCATTTGTTCAAATTCCGAAACGTTCAAAAACCAAGGCGTGGCTTCCAATTGGCTACAGGAGCTTCCTGCACTCAAGCACTCTAGCTGCGTTAGACGTTCAGCTTCTGAAAAATGTTTGAAAACCAAAACACTTACTTCCAGGTTTTCGGTGTTCGGGATCCGATTCGTTCATCAACTAAGCCGTTTGAGAACCAAGGTTCCACTGTAGTAACATACATTCCAAAGACCCCAGAATTATCTCCAGAATCAATCCATGGACTATTGACTTTGATGAAAGGTTCTCAGAGGGGCTGTACATAGAGCAATATTACTTCTAATGTTAACTAAGATCTAACATGGTGGAGTAGGAGAAATATATTCTTTCCCTATTCCTTAACAGATATTTAGAATGGACTACAGCAGTCAAGATAAAACTAACAGACTGCTCTTATAAACATCAGGAACTGCTTGGGCAGGCAGTAGCCATAGTAGTGACTGATACAGATATGACCCCCTGGTGCTGTTGAAACATCAGTCCTTCCAAATCCCTGCATAGTGCAATTTTGCAATGCTGAAGTCAAGGAGAAGAGCAGAGCATTGGCAAAAGGCTGTGCTGGCACTTTTGAAAAGGGCAGCAATTACTGTCCGGTATCAAATATTTCGTTCTTCAGTAACGTTGAAAGAGTGGTGGCATTTCAATTCCAGGCAGTCTTAAAGGAAAGTAATTACTTAGATCCATTGCAATCTGGTTTCTGGCCTGGCTATTGGATGGAAACAGCCTTGATCACCCTGGTGGATGACTACACCAGGGAATGGATGGGTTGAATGTAACCCTGCTTGTTCTTCTGGACCTCTTGGCAGCTTTCAGTACCATTGACCATGGTTTCCTCCTAGATCATCTTATTGGATTGCCACCATTTTTTATTGGCTCTGGGCCTTTCTGAAAAGACAAACCCAATCAGTAGCACTGGGAGACTTCTGTTCCGCCTTTGGTCTATGGGGTACTGCACCTCAAGCTTGTTAATATCTACTGTACGTCAAGAATGTTTTGTTGTTGTTGTTGGCTCTGCAGACTGAAGTTCAAAATAACCTTACATCTACAACAAACCTGTAAAGTAGGTCATATTACAGCTCAAGGTGAATAAGGTCTGAAGCTATTGGTTTATGTAAAAGCACTCAATGAACATTAAAAGAGCCTGCCCATCTAGTCCAGCAAACTGTTCCCAAAGTGACAAATTAGAAGTCTATGACTTCATGGCTAAGATTATGTTTGAACTAAGAACTTGTAACTCAGCTCATAGCATGTGTGTTTAACTACTTCAATCCCCCACGGTACTATAAATGCTTTTTATTTTTTGGGTTTAGATGGAGTAACGTCAGCTGCCTCAGATCCTTTCATCCCATATTTTAAATATAAAAACTCAAAAGAACATACTGAGTTTAGGTAAATCAGTTCCTGCAAGCACACACAAAATGTGAATAGAAATAACATTTTAAAAAAAACACCCCAGAAGCACAGAGCTGTGAAATTATTTTTCAGTAATAACAGAAACCCTACACCTTAGCTGGTAAATATATTATTTCAGGGGTAATGGATGATCTGCATCACACAGCACAACTAATAATAGAGCAGGAGACATTTTGAAAATCTGTGCTCACAACAGTAAATTACCCTTATTCTGTCTAGGACAACTTACTCGCATTCTAGCAGTGCAACACTGTGTGCTTCTTCTTGCCTCCAGGTCACATCACTGGTGACTTCCAATGATGGCAAGATGTCTGAACTTATAGGTCAATTGTCCCATTAAGATGAAATTAGTCTCCATTGTGGGAAGCAATGTTAACGTGACACATATTTCCAGTTGAAGTGTGCAAGAGATACTGCAGTTGACTCCCAGGTTCAGGGTAAATAGTTGAGGGCCCTCAGCCAGAAACTGTTGGTTAGTGTTTAATAGCTCATATATGATCAATAGAGTGAAGAATGGGACAACCATTTTCCTAGCATGCAGTGCATATTTGGGAATTGAGTAACAGACTTGCTCTAGACTTAGCTAGTTGCCTCCCCCTAGAGGAACAGGTACACAGTCTGAGACTGCTCCTAGAGTCGTCAGAGTTCAAGTAGTTTCAGTGGTTCATGGTGCTTTTTGCTGGCCCACTGGCTACAACTGTTCCTGGAGAAAGAGAGTCTGGCCACAGCAGTCCATGCTCCATATAAGCTCCCAGTTAGACTACTGCAATACACTCTGCTTGGGGCTGCCCTTGACAATGGCATGCAACTTGTAGATAGTGCAAAAGGTGGAAGTGAGTTTGCAGTTCAACACCAATCCTAAAGGAATCGAACTGGCTGCCAATATGCTTCCTCCCCACTTTCACAGTGTTTGTCATAATGTTTAGAACCCTGAATGGATTGAGAGCATGATACTTAAGAGAGCACCTCTCACTACATATTCCTGCCTTAAAGTTAAGATCTGGTGAGGTGGGAGAGGGCTGTCCTCCACACCAAATTAAAACCTGGCTTTTTACTCAGGCATTTGGCCTATTGTGAGAATAGCTTAGAATTTGACTTGCTTGTGATGTTTGCTGGTGCTCAGCATTTAAGATTTTATGCTGAACATGACTATTATTGGTTACGCTTCATGTTTTTTGGTTTGATTGCTGTATCTTGTCCTGAGATCAACTGATATCTATATTTATTGAATTTATATACTGCCCTATAACTGGAGGTCCCAGGGCGGTTCACAGAATAAAATCAAAATATAAAACCACAAAATACGTAATCAAAATAAAAACAACAACCCAATAGCTCCCCCCCCCCCAAAAAAACCCACTTAAAAAAAAACTGATATAGCTTGGGTTAGAGGTATGTTAATAAATTAATACAGTGTGGAAATGTAATTGTCTACCCTGAGGTGTGCCACTGCCCCAGTGAAAGACCTTGACAGATTTTGAATCTGGGTGGAATAAATGCACATAAAGGCAAGCTTTGTCTTGACAGAAGACTCTTCACCTAACTCATGTGCACTTGCTTAAATGTCAGAAGAGAACCCATATGCGTATACTTGTAGGTTCTCTTTAGGCATTTAAACCAATGCATGCTGCTGCTGTTCCACACACGTTGTTCTAGCCAGATCAAAGGTCTGCAAAGCAAAGCCAATCTGGATCCCAAGGCCTAAAGTTTAACAGGGATGAGGAGGTCAGCAGGGCAGAAATGTGTAGCATAAAGCAGAGCAATAGGGTAAAATGGTCAAAGTGAGAGCGCATCCCAGAAACATCTGCAACTCATAGAAAAGTGCCACTCGAACGTAAATCAGTGTGTGGCATGTTGCCATGATAGGGTCTCTGTGTGTGATGAAGCAGGGCTTCTACCACGATTCAGAATGTAGTAACATGCCTCCCAAACTCATCCTCTGCCTCCCATACACTTACCGTCAAGACCTTCCATCAAAATCCTCCCACTTGAGAGATTTGGAACAAACAAAACCTAAATTTATTTAAACATTTGGCTTCATGGCTCCAAATGAGGGCCAGAAGACAATGCTGGCAAGAGATCTGATGGAATAAGGTAGGCACTGCACAGTCAAAGCACACACAATTTAGGAGAGATGTGCTCCACTGTCTGAGTTTTATGGACAGTTTTACTAGGCTTGTCAGACAGAGCTTTACAAGGTTTGTCACCAATAAAGAAAACCTTTGGGTGCTGTTCATGAGGACATTCAGAACCAAGTAGCTTCGGCAGAATTTTAGCTAATTCTATCAGATTAAAGTTAATATGCTGTGACCTAAACATTTTTTCTTTATTGGCTTATATTCTAAGTAGTTGCATTTATTTGCCCCAATAAATACTACCCTAAGAAGATGGCAGAAATCTGCTTGCTTGGTATAGCAAAACAGAGCCAGCAACAGCTAGTAAGAAAGGGGGCCAGGTATTATTTATTACTCCATATTAACTTGATTTGATGACTACTGGACATTTCAAAAGGAAAGAACAACACCGAAACACTCTTTCCAATCTGGCAGAGAAAGCAGTAAGTGTTTTACCATTCACATTCTAAGCAACATCTGAGGTCTAGCGGGGGGAGCAGTTAATATAATCATCACTCCTGTTCTACTGCTTCAGTTGCAACTGGGAACAGGAAGACTGAGCAGGTGCAGAATCTCCAACGGCCCAAGAGGAGGTGCTTTGACTCCAGCAATGAGGTGGGGTGGGGAAGTAACTTAAGAGCCCCACTGGGTCACACCAAAAAGCTTTTCTAGCCCAGAATCCATGGCGGTCAACCTGGTGTGTATAGGAAGCCCACCAACAGGAAATTGGGACAATAGTACTGTGGTACCTTGGGTTACAGACACTTCAGGTTACGGATGCTTCAGGTTACAGACTCCACTAACCCAGAAATAGTACCTCGGGTTAAGAACTTTGCTTCAAGATGAGAAAAGAAATTGTGCTCCGGCAGTGCGGCAGCAGCAGGAGGCCCCATTAGCTAAAGTGGTGCTTCAGGTTAAGAACAGTTTCAGCTTAAGAACGGACCTCCAGAATAGTGGACTATTGATGTAGCATCTTCCTATGACTTCCTTACAATCAATGAAAAGTCCTATTCTCTTTCCTTTCCCCACAATTTGAGTTTCCTGCTTGCTTCTAGGTATGGGATAATGTATAAACATGAATCCAATGTACCTGTGAGGACATTTTGAATATAATTCTCACATTCCTGGCTATGACAGTTTGTTTAGTCTTATTTGATTTTTAAAGGATATTGGGTCAGAAATTCTGAATGAGCTTAGGAGTGCTTAGCTCTTTCTAGGGTTGTGGCGGTTATCTATATTCACACAACCAAACCACACGAGAATATTCTCAAGCGTCAAAAATTGCAAATTTCAACACACGCCAAGGAATGCAAAAACCAGGTAAGTCATTTCAGCAGAGCTCTTGTCAAAATTTCCATGTTCAACTTCCCTAGTCAATACATTTGTGCCTATGAAATTGCTTAATACATGGCAATAGAACATAACATACTTTTTACATAAAATAGCATCCCAAGAGGATTTGACAGGAGTCAGTGCAATGGACTGCCAATAAAATTAGATCTAAAGCATTTGGAAACTAGGGGGCGGAAATAATAGGGTTGGCTAACAGCCATTTACATCCTGTATGTGGAATACACTGAGACCTTAGTCCTTCCATTTGCATTTCTCCTGTTCTATTACTCCTGTGAAACTTTCCTAGTAAAGTCACAGGTCATGACCTCCTCCCAGGGAAAAGAGAAGGGATGGGCCCTCTTACTCAACAGATATGCTACTGACCTGAAGCATTTGAAGATAACCTTCTTGTGGGTCACAGAGGAGCGAAGATATCCGGTGGTTATTCCTCATGCATCGTTGATTGTTCTCTCTTGACAGAGGGAAGATCTGCCGTATGACGGTCATCCTCCCGAGAGCACTGTGCACCAGTTCCAAAATTTCATTGTCGCTGATTTCCTGTGAGGAAAGAAACAAATTCATTAGAATCCACTTCCATGGTAAATTGTATTTTGAATGAATCTTTTATTTATTGAAGTCCAACACCTATATATTACTGAGGACATTTTTTAAAAAACAGAAAATAACTGAGACGGCGAGAACTCGGTGCTCTTACCTAGTGAAAACTTAGCCATTTTCTGACCTCATCCACACAGGACATTCTGTGCCTAGAAAGCATGGCTCCGAGCAACCTTTTGCTTGCCCCATCCTTTCTAGGCATGGGTCTGAGTGGCTTTTCCTTTGCCCCACTGCGTTTCCCTAGGAAGGCTGCTCTTTAGTGCGAAATCGGAATAAACTGCAATCTGCAGAAAACCCAATTGTGTTAACCCATCAATTTCAGCTCTAAACCATCAATTCCCCCCCGGGAAAGTGGCGGGGTGAACAGAAGTGTGGATAAATTTGTTCAGTGTCTGGATGAGGAACTACTTATTAATAGGTTCAAATATTTTTCTCAGGCTTCACAAGGGAATAGTGAAGTCTAAGTGTAATAAGTAAATAGGTAGAATAATTAAAATGGAGGAAATTTATGCTTCTACGGCATTTTTCTTCTTCATTCAGACTTATCATGTGAAGACAGTTGTGGTTGTTTTGTTGTGGTGGTTGTTAATTTCATTTATGACTCACTTCCCATGGGGCATCCTAAAGCAACGTACAATATAATCCCACCATTTGTCACAAATTGAAACTTCAATTTAAAACATTTGTTGGATTGCTGTATATTTTCTCATAATAGCTATAGCAAAACTATCAACAGAATAAACAGGCACTTTTTAATCAAAGGAGCTTGCACTTATGGCATGCATGCCCTAAAATACAAGACAATTAAATCAACCATAAAAACCACCACTCATTACACAGAGCCTATCAAGTGGCCAGAAATATAGATATTCCTGGGGAATAATCAGGATCCTCACTAAATGGCATTCTTACGTCATGTATTAATGTACGAGTAAATAACCACAGCTTATTAAATTTACGAGATAAGTATAATCTGAACCTATTCTTTGTAGTGTTTTCTATCCTGTGCCATAATATGATGGTGATGATGGAGGACAGATTTCAGACCAAGGTATTAATGGAAAACCATCCGAAGGTTACTAGCTAAATAACAGCTCATTTAAAAGCACATGGTTTTTTCTTGGAACTAAAGAAAATAAATCCAGGAAGATCCCCCCCCCCTCTTTCTAAATGACAGGTGCCATAGGATATTGTCAGAGCATCCATGCTTTCTGAGAATATTCCATCTGATTAAATTGACTATTTTGGAAGGGATAGGAAAACACATTTGACATGAGTCACCTTGTTTTGTCCTGCCCTCCACTTGTGCTTGTGGCACAACAATGTCGCTTACTTTATGCAACTTAATCTGTAAAGGGAGCGAGATTCTTGGTGCCTGGGATAACATTACTCAAGATTTTTTTCTGGGGTTTCAGGCAAGAGTGTGTCTCTTTTGCATCAGTCCTTCTTCTTTTAAAGTCAATTACATCCAATCAAGATCATACCGATGAACACAAGCTATATTAAACCCAACGGTACATGCAAGGCATTGCTTTTTGGTCTGATCAAGCATAGCTGTACTTAATAGTCTCATTATTTTCTTACTCTTGTGGCCAGGGGAAACGCCTCGGTGGCAAACGTATTATGAGAAGCTGACATAATTCTCACAACTTACGACCGACAGCACATGATGATTCGAAAGCTACCAATTTCCCATACAGAGTATTTATTTAAATAGTTAACGGGGGGCGGGGGAGGCTGCATAAGAAACTATTTCCAGGTTTGGTTATATAGTGGTACCTCGGGTTACAGACGCTTCAGGTTATAGACTCCGCTAACCCAGAAATAGTACCTCGGGTTAAGAACTTTGATTCAGGATGAGAACAGAAATCATACTCTGGCGGCATGGCGGCAGCAGGAGGCCCCATTAGCTAAAGTGGTGCTTCAGGTTAAGAACAGTTTCAGGTTAAGAACGGACCTCCAGAATGAATTAAGTACTTAACCCAAGGTAGCACTGTAAAGGCAACACCCAGTTTATGTGGGGGTAACATTCCAAGGCACCACACATTTAAGTGAAATTGTGTATATTTGAGACACCGCTGGAAAAGCCTGCAAACACCCCGTTCCACCCCCTACCCCTCTTGTGACGTTTTCTGGTCACTTTCAGGGTTCAGCATGATGCACGTGTGCATGATTGCACACATATTGAACACACGTAAATGGGGGTTGCCTGTATTAACAATGGGAAGTGTTTGAGCTTCAGTGTTGTTCTTAAAACTCAGGGGTGTGGGGAAGAGATTGAGACAAACAGACAGAACCACATCTAAGTAGCTCACACATCTAAAAATATGCTAGATGGGGGAGACAGAATGTAGTCTATAAGAACTTCTGTTTGTTGTTGTTTATTGATTATACATTTTCAAAACAAATTTCCAATATCAATACTAAATATTCATTTTTCAATTCCCCCCTCCCTGTTGACTTCCCCCAGCTTCCATTTCTGGTTTATTGCATCAAATGATACATTCTGCTGTTCGTATATAATACTATGTTATCACATTGTTATATTTCTTGTTTCGTGTAAATAAAGTTGTAAATGTTTATTTAAATCCTGCCAACAAGTCCATTTCTTGTTGTTGTTTCTGAAAATATATTGTAAAAGGTTCCAATTCTTTTTCAAAGTCCCTATTGTCCTTTTATCGCAGTTTGTCTGTTAACTTTGCTAACTCTGTAAGAACTTCTGTTAACCCCACATTCCCCTTCTAAGGCATAGATGAGATGTAGTGATCTTAGTGTAATAACCTATGGTCTGGGAATGGAAGGGGCAGCACCTATGTCAGTGGAAGGTACTGCTTGCTTTGCTTGCTAGCTTCTGTAAGAGGCAGCATCCCACAGGCAGCTAATGCTCTTTGGAGGCCTCTGGGGAAAAACATTCTACCACCACCACCATTTCAGCCCCCAAAACTACATACTGAATATTTAATCTTCCTGAACATTCAGGAAGTTAAACCCAAAGATTATTTTAAAGCATCTCAGGCTCCCAGTACTCAATCCATTTGTGTATTTATTTATTTGCAGACAAAGAACATCAATTATTGTGTTTGCAATACCTAGCTATTTTGCTCAGGGGAAATATTTAAATCTGCTTTAGCTGCATTCAGTTATCATAACACAAATTGCAAAATGAGACAATTATGTTTCACATTAAAAACTCCTATTTTCCTAGAGGTAATGAAGGAAAATTATAAATTTTAATGACATTAATAATTTACCAAACCAAAAAGAGTTCCATGAAAAAAAAATGTCCCTGAGAAAAATCTGAAGATTAAACTTTAATAGGCATGAGGATCATGAGGTTGATGAAAAATCTGTAGACTTATATGCAATATTTACAGCAGGGCTGGTGCTTTAAAAACGTGAAATGGATTTCCCTTACTTGTATATTTTGGTTTATAGGAGAGCAGCAATGTGGAGTCATGGTTGGTGCAGTTCTAGGTATGCAAACAAGCAGTGCTTTTTTTCTGGGAGGACGCAGGGGTATGTATACCCCTAAACATTTTGTGAATCTAAGTTTGGCCTGGGAGATTACAAGGGGTCAAAAAAAATGGATGTACCGTGCTATATTAGAAGCAAAAAAACTTGTTTTGATGAATTGGAAGAGCCGCAAAAAGATTCCATTGAGCACATGGATTGATAATATGGGCAGATTAGCTACATACGAATGAATTGTATGTCGATGCAAATTAAGAATGGATAAATATGAAGAAATCTGGAAGGAATATTTAAGTGATTAGGCGGATAGTGGTGGGAAGTAGGGGGAGGAGAGAGAGGTGGGAAAATATTGTTAAAAAGGTGTAGTCATAGGTATATCTGCGTATTCAAATCTGAATTGTCAAATTGTGTTATTATGGTTTTGGTTGCATGTGTCTTTTGCCGTTGTTATTTGTATTGAAAAAAATGATTAAATTTTTTTTAAAAAAATATATATCTAAATTTGGCCTCATTGAGGGGCAGTATTTCAATTTGAGTAGGAAAATGAGAGTACCCCTAAACATTTTTTTTTAGGGAAAAAAAGCACTGCAAACAAGCATGGGGCTTCATTCAACAACTCATGGAGGAAACAAAGCAGCTAGCACCAGCAATTTGCATGGGAGGGAACAAACAAATTGACAGTGCCAGCTGGAGTTCCTGGCACTGTGGCTAGGTCTGGGCATTTTGCTTGGCCTGCTCAAACATAAGCATGATGTTACGCAACCTCAGCAAGACCATTATTCTGAGCCGCCATCTGCTTATTCAACCCCCCACCCCCAGATCCATGGGAGGGGCTGGATCCAAGGGGAGGAGGAATGATCCTGTTGCCACTGTGTCATTAGCTGGATTCCCTCCTTCACTGGGCCCACCCGTGGCTTCCACAATCCTACTCTTACTGTAGCCTCTAACTGCTCAGAAAAAAAACTGCCTTGAGTTGGCCCGGAAATACTTCCACGGGGCTCAGGAAGCTGAAAAATGGTACACCTATTCTCAGGGATTATTAGGAAACGATATTATTATTAATTATTATTATTAATTATTGCCTCTTACTGTCTTGAGCATATCCAGCCACTAGTTTAATTCTTTATTTATGAACTTTATTTATTTATTTAATTCTTTATTTATGAACTTATAATGGCTAGGCAGCTGCCATCCCTCCCCAGGCTTGTGCCTCGAGCCAGACAGCTGGAGCAACAGGGGGCCGTGCCTACATGCCAACTTAAGTGCTCTAGTCTGATGGCACAAGTACAAGCAACCTGTGACTTCTCCTAGATTGAAGTGTGCCTGGCTCTTTAAGCTGCCCCCTCCCCTTCTGCCAGATCCTAGGGAGCAGTGGGTGAGGGGACAGGGTGAATTTTGCCAGCCCTCTCTCTTCAGCCATCAACTGACCTTCCTCCACCATCTCTGACTACTCAGACCCCTCCTCATCCTCCAGCTATGGCTCCTGTCTTATGGGAGGCACAAAACCTAATAATAATGATAATAATAATAATAATAATAATAATAATAGTAATAATAATAATTTATTTATTTATACCCCGCTCATCTGGCTGGGCCTCCCCAACCACTCTGGGTGGCCTGCAACAAAACATTAAAATACAGTAATGCATCAGACATTAAAAGCTTCCCTAAACAGGGCGGCTTTCAGATGTCTTCTGAAAGTCGGTAGTTGTCTTTCTCTTTGACATCTGGTGGGAGGGCATTCCACAGGGTGGGTGCCACTACCGAGAAGGCCCTCTGCCTGGTTCCCTGTAACTTCGCTTCTCACAGTGAGGGAACCGCCGGAAGGCCCTTGGCACTGGACCTCAGTGTCTGGGTAGAACGATGGAGGTGGAGACGCTCCTTCAGATATATTTGACCGAGGCCGTTTAGGCCTTTAAAGGTCAGCACCAACACTTTGAATTCTGCTCAGAAGCTACTCGCTTCCCCTGCATCAGCCTCTGGCCTTGCTACCTCTTCCACGTGCTCCTCAGAGCCCTGTGAGTCCCTGACACTTTGTAGAAAAAAATGGTTAAGCTATTCCCATCTCACTCAGAAAACTGAAAATGTGTTAGGCATGCAGAAGAAAGTACCTGAAGACTGATATAGGGTATGGGGAACATTTTCATACCCAGCCACCATTGGAAACAAAAAGTAGACTGAAGCTTTCTTCTGCCAAAGAATACCCCAAATATTATATTTAGTAAACAATGTTGATTATGATATTTTAAGTTCTGTACCTCATTATCAAGACAACACCAGCTTAGTTATCAATCTCTTCCTGCTCTGTTTCCATCAATATTAACTATGGACTGTATCCAAACTAAGTTTAACTTACTTGAAACCACTGGGACGAGTTAGACATGACTTAAGTCTCATTTATTTCAATGAGAACTAACTTTAAGTAACTGATTATTTATAGAGAGAAGCAGTAACAGCTGAAGATTTACATAAGATACATCCCAGATGCAAATAATCTAAATCACTTGAGTTTTGGAGGAAGAACATAGCTACCAATAGATTTATTAGCCAAGAATGACATCAGACAAGGGAGAAATAAAGCCACCAGCACAAACAGTGAATGAGGCCATGAGGTGAAAATGGAAAGTAAGGAAGTCTAGACTACGGCAGAGACAGCAAAGTAAATAATCATCCATCATGCACTGAATGGGTAGCATGGCCTCTGACAGTCAAAAGTAGAAGAGCAGGTGCTCTGCAGAATTGGGCAGAGATGGTAGAGTACATTAAATCAAGGATCCTTTGGATGTTGGGGGGAAAGAAAATTAAACAGACCAGGAATGGACAAAAATAATCATGCAGCCACATCCTAGACATATGTACTTGCAAGCAAGTTCCATTGAGTTTAGTATTTCCAGGGAAATTTGTGTATGGTCCCAGGCTTAAAGACAAAGAGGCTTCAGTGTCAATCCACACATTACAAATTGGTTCTGATACATGTACCTCAATGTACATGGTGGTAGCCTAGTGTCACTGTTGGGAAACTGTGTTAATTGACTCACACAGAGTCAATTAAGGTTTGGCAGACAGCCAGAAGGCAATCTGAAGGAGTAAGTCTGCCTGGTGATAACAGAGACATGGAGACCACTCCCTGATTGGTCAAGCTCTCTCAAGGGAGTGATAATTAATGGCCTACTAACTGGAATGTGTTAGTTCAGAGGTTCGTGAGTTCAGAGTTCTGTGTGAGTGCAGGAGGTTGTGAGTTGTGTCAGAGAGAGCAAAGATCTGTGTTCTGTTCCTGTAAATAGTCCACTGTATATAATAAACACCTAACTACAAGTTCCTGGTTCCTGCTTCGTCTATCCTGTCTGCAGCCAAGTCGCCAATTTCTTCTGTGGATTCTGAGTGTACTCTGCTAGGTCTGGCTAAGGTCTTGCAACTAGTCAGAAGGTTGCAAAACTCCAAATAGGTTTGCCAATAGTCACATCACATGGCAGCATAACGTGGGATAAGAATACTCATGACATCCACAGTGGAAATGTCTATATTAATTGTGGGCAAGGGTGAGAACCTTTTTTTGGCCTGGGAGCTGTGCTCCTTGACAGACACCCTTCCGGGGCTGTGTGGCAGAGGTGGGTGAGACAGGTACAGATCCAGAAGGAAAAGCAGGTGAAGAAATGTATACCACTCTCCATTTTTATTGTAAAATAATTTAAGATTTTTAAAAATCCACCTAATTACAAGGAAATCAGTGTTTACAGCTGATCAACTGTGAATTAACATTTACAACAGACAGATCTGTAGGCGGCAGGTGGTCTTGGAAAGTAAACTCAAGTTTTTAAAAATGAGTGTTTTATCCGCTTGCAGTCCATTGGGACTGTTTCTCACATGTGTTCATTTCAAAAGAACATCTTGTTGCACACCTTTTTTTGTTCAACTTAATTTTACCGAGATATGCTGAGAAGACGCTCTTGGACATTTCTGCACAGTAAGCCAATGTGAAGTACCAAAGTAAGTGTTTTCCTATCACTACCGTACTATAGAAACTCTGATCTAATCTCACGGTAACAGGAAAAGAACAAACATCCTCAAATATTTCTGGGATCTCATACGGAGAATTTACAATATGAATAAAGCATGACATTCTTTCCTCTGGCAATGTGTTTGACAGATAAAAGAAACAAAAGAATGGTAATGATAGCTTGTGGTGAGGTAATAAGCGCTACCCTTTGAAACTTATTGGATGTGTGTTAATCTGAATTGACTGAAAGTCATTAACGTGAATAGCCACAAATGAAAGCCTCAAAGTCAAGTAGCAACTCTAACCTTCAGCTCTCCAACTTAGTTTAGCAACTTGTAATTAAATCTGTTTTGTGGCATTTCAGGTGACAGCAATGTGGCTGCACTTTATCTTCCCATCAAAACAAAGGGGAGAAAATTTCATTATAACCAATTTATGTCTGGAAACACTGACTGCAGCTAATGGAAGCTGCATCGACAGAGAGATACAGCAAGGAGGAAGTTGACTTCCAGAATTAGCTAATTACAGGCCAGGGCTTGATGCTTAGCTCACTTAGAGCACTTATGGGAAATCTAAGAAACAACAGGAAGTGCAAGTCCTTCCAGTTTTTACATTTCTTCTCTACGAATCTAAAATGGGAGTTCACACACCCTGGGATGGATCCAGAGTTGCCTTTCCATTAATAGAAGGGCTGGTTCCATTCACAGATAGTGAATCCAGCAGTCCCCAGTGCCACCTCCCATGTATTCTGGCGGTTCCCCTGATCACCTGGAGCAGTATTTGAAGGGCACAGAAGGCTAAAATGAGTGAGAATAGGCAAAAATGGCCTCTCTTTCCACTCGCCAATCGGTAGATTGCTGCCACAGGTAGTCTGAGTCCAACTCCATTTCCTAAAGCTTCTCCCTTGCCCTAGGCATCAGGGAGAATTTGCACAGGATAGTTAATACTAGGGCATAGTAGAATAAACAGGTCATCTTGAAGCATGGGCACCCTATATAAAATCACAGGGCAAGGATGCACAACTGAAATTGCTCTGAGGGCTACTTTTACATTTTTATTAACTCGAGAGGGCTGTGCCATGAATTAATCATGGGAAAATGTTCGTGTCATATTTGTACTCAGTTTACTCACACATGCAAAACAATCGTACGTGGATAAAATATGTCGCTGCAAATCTCGCCACCATGTTTAAGGTTTTTCTTTTGCTTAATAAAACACAAAGATCAAGTACCAGGCTGTGACACAAATGTTAAGAGCTCTCTCTCTCTCTCTCTCTCTCTCTCGCTCTCTCGCTCTCTCTCTCTCTGACACACACACACACACACACACACACACACACTAGGGTTGGGTGATATCTGGTTTTCAATATTGTTATATATCTGCCCTAACTATCCGCCTATTTGCCCTTCGACATTCCTGTTTGTGCCTGCTTCAAGTAAGCTCCTTGTATCTGATTCTGGCCTGGAATTAGCTTTGTTATTTGGATTGCATTCCTTATAGTTTGTCAGCTTGGACCGGATTTCATGATCCTGTCTAGGTCCTCCTATGGGATCTCTCCTGGAATTTGAATGATGCTGGTCTTGATCCTGCAGGGACTTGTGCTGTCACATTTCTGAGTGGTCAAACTGCTTACAGCCCACAGCTGTCAAAGAGATGCTTGCTTTCCTCCACATTCTTCCTTGTTCTTAAAGCCTTTTATGCTAAGCAGATCACATATCCTTTCATTTGTCCTTCCTCTAATTTTCTTGTACATTCTGATAAATATTAACCCTGCAGCTCTGTGACTTGCATCCTGATCATCCCTTCTGAGATGCAGATCATCCAGGCATAACACAAGTTGAGAGTAGCTTGTTCCTTTTTAAAATAAAAAATGAAAATCGGAATATAACTTGAATTCCCACTGAATTACAGTCAAACCTTGGATCTCAAATGCGTTGGCTCCTGAACAAATCAGCTCCTGAATGATCAAAACCCGGAAGTGAGTGTTCTGGTTTTTGATCGATTTCCAGAAGCCGAAAGTCCGGCGTGGCTTCCAATTGGCTACAGGATGCTCCTGCAGCCAATCGGAAGCTGCGCCTTGGTTTTCGAATGGTTCCGGGAGTGCATTCTGTTCAAGAAGCAAGGTACGACTGTATTGCTGTTTGAACCAAATGGAAAGGTTCCTTTCAGACAAAATATTTGAGGAATTATGATGGACACTAACGGACTAGCCAAAAGCCATGTATCTTTCAACCTAAGGTTATTGTTGGATGTTTGTATTCCTTTACTTGGTAGGGGTGGATTTATGCTTCAGTCTGGGCCCTAGGTTCCTAGGCAATGGCCACCACATCCCATAGGCATGATTTACAATGTCAGAAGAAAACAGTCAGCTATGGACCGAAAAAGACATGCTCCATTAACAGTGCTTTAACATTTACATGCTGCAAAAATGCATGCCTGAGTATCTCAAATTTGAATCAAACGCCAAAGAGCAAGTCCTTTTATGGAAGTAGGATAGAAGGTTTTACACGGTTAATTCCTTCCAATCCATACAGAAGTTCAAAATGATAAGCAGCCACCCACCAGCCCTCTGTAGCTAGACAGCATACCAAGTGCTTCTCTGTTTCTGAGTACATATTTACTCTGTTCAAACTCTCAGATTCTAGACATTTGAGAGAATGTATAGTTGTCTGTTTTAACTCAATTGAATTTTATAAAGTCTATATAAGCTTGCACATTGATAGTTCTTCACTGGATTATATTTATGTACCTATTTGCACTTTGTAACCCATCATAACCCTGTCCCTGGGATTTTATCATGCTATGTAGGGATTCTAATTTGTTCTTGTCTCGTGAACTTTCTGATTGATACCTTTAAATCTGCATCCTGCAAATGCTTCTCCTATCTGTACTCTGTCAGTGGAAGGGGGTCCATATTTTGTGGCATTTAATAAATAATGTACATATTTGTAAGCCCACGGGAGTCTTATTTTGGCAGAAGAGAGGCGAAAAATTATGCATCATATTACACAGTTTTAATTGGGGGTAGTGAATTTCAGCACCTCAATAACAGCAACAACAACATTCTCCTATAAACCCTGTACAGAGTAGACAGTGCATTGTATTTATGTGAATATAAACACTGATCTCCTCTGTGCGTTTCTCGTGGTGATTTTTTTACGAAGCTATTACAGCAAAAAAGAACGAGTTCCATAAACATCACAGGGACTGGAGAAGATTCATAATGGCTTTTTGGAGGTAGCAATTTTATACCCACTACCCCTTTTAATTTCCATGCATTACCGCTAACCAGACAAAAGCAATTTATAGTTCCTGTTAACATATATGGCTGCCTTCCTCTGCATGATTAGTGAGAGGCAAAGGACGGTATGAAACGTGAACAAAGAAGTCTGTACTTAAACTTGATGTCCCCTATATAATGCATTAGCACAAAACAACAGATAACACAGCTCTCTTTATTTAAATATTTTACCAGCCTTAAGCACATAAAGAACATACATTTGTTAAGATATACAAATGTTTCTAATAATGCAGCTTCCACTAAGTGGCCAGAAATTTATAAATGATCACATAGGAAATTCTCTCTCCCTACCCCCACCGCCATGCTTATATTATGAGTCATTTCTCAGTGCGCTGACTTTCAATATGGGCCTCTATAAAATACAGCTTAGGGACATTCTCCCCCCGCCTCCAGTATTGATATACACAACATAAATAAAGCTCGATTATCCTTTAAGTGGAATGGGAGGGGTATACAAACCAAACACGTGCATTGCTTCAATGCAGAACTGGATCACAGTGATAGAATCAGTTCAGTTCTACAGAAAAGATGTTAATGCATCAAGCTCAGAGAGCTAATCTTTTGTAACATTCAGACACTGCAAACTGGAGAGCAGCGGCCTTACATGTAAGCTCAGTGCTTTCTCGGTTGTCCATGGTAACAGAGTGCAAGCTTGCAGACCACCAAGAGCTATATATCTGCATTTCTGAGGTTTATGTGGAATAATTCTTTCTTCCCTACAAGCACAGCTAGTGGAGTAGGTCAGCATGAGAAAGAACAGGATGACAAGCCTTGCCATTTCCTGGGCACCTTTGTTTTGATCTTTATCATGCTGTTTATGCCAGCCAAGAAGAAGTCTGGAAATGGAGCTATACAATTTGCATTCTGGTATTATTCAGGCTGGAGAGAGACAATCTCCCTGCCCTATTCTCCCACCCCGCCAACAGAAGTTAGTATGAGAGAGTCTCCATCGCCAACGGTGTCTGCAGTAAAGCTGGATGTTTACAAGTTTTGATTCTTTTGTCCAAAGTTGGTACACTTAACAAGCAGGGGGAGGGATAAGAAGTATGTGAATCACATCTGTTTCCCACCCACTGCCAGATTACCAAATAGGCAGTGTAGGCAACAGCCTATGGGCTCCATGCCTTTCAGGGGCCCCACAACAATGGATCAAAATAATATTGATTTGATAGAGAATTACAAAAACATATTAGGAGATAATTTGCAAGGCCCCCCTTGAGATTTTGACTGCCTAGGGGCCTCCACAGGGTTTAATCTGGCACTGTTTCCCTCTGATTAATGGACACAATAAATGTTGCTTGTGGGGGAGATGCACAGGAAACCGCCAGAGGATGGATGTCTGGTTTTTTATTATTCTTTCCAAAGATCTGTAAAACTGCACAACGTCTATGCTAACTTGCAGGCCAAGCTCAGGGTAGCTTCTGAGCCTTGGGACCAAGGAAGTTCGTGAAGCTGATGAGCCGATCTGCAAACACCAAACTTGAGAAGCAAAGCTCAGGAAGCTAAAGGACTGTGAAACACACCCATCCAACAAATCAGATCCTCTTCAAAAAGGCATCTCCCACCTCCTGGTGTGGGCAGGGCTACGCTCTTCTCCACTCTGGTTGGTCATCTCATGGCCACTTGGTCCCTAAAGCCAATGGCTTGGCTTGGGGAGTGGCCGTGAAACATTATTTAATCCCTGTGCGATGTTTCCTGGACCTCTTTGCCTTCGTGCAGCAGTTCACCCGCCCGCCCACCCTTTATCTGGTGTGTTGGCCTTGCTATGGACGTTGTTGGTTGCCTGTTTTGCAATGGGGGTCTGGTAGGAAATTTTCCATCTGGCGGATTGGCAGAGCCATTTGGTTTTCGCCCATCACGTAGCAATTATCACAACTTTGTAAGGTTCGGCGGTTAGGCATTGGATCAGCAATATGTGGGGAGGGGAGGGGAGGTGCAGCCATCACCTGCCTCTCCAAGCTCAAGGGTATTCCATTAAAGGAATCAGGGGTTGGCCTGGGTCTTGTCCAAAACCCTGTGGTAGGGTATAGGGCCATACCAGGACCCCATGGGGGTGAGCTTGAGTCGGTTTGCATCGGCGGGGCTCCCTCTGGCGGTGTTTCACCCTTTTATCAGACTCTCCGCGATGCGGGTGGGAGTCTGATATAGTTTGGATGATTCCAGTGCCTAAGCCAATACCACTCACATTCTGTATTCAATAAAGTTGTGGCCTAAATTTTGCCCAATAACTTAAACTAAAATCCCGTGTCACTGTGTCTTCATTTTTTGGGGGTGGTCAGGAGTCTTGAAGCACAAACCTAAACCCTAGCACAAGCCCCATTCCCTGCTTCAAAGCCCTTCAAAATAGAGATGTCAGAGGGCAATGGATTTTTTTTTAGGGGGGGGAGGTAAGCCCCACCCCACATAACTAATCACAAGACACGGCAATGCCTATCAACTTTGGGGGGCAGCCCCCTCAAATATTTCATTGTGGAGGCCGAAGGGACCTCAGCCCATAGGAGTTGGCTCCTATGACAAAGAAACTGATATGTAAACCACTGAAAGTGATGGCTCTATCACAACACCTTCAACTTTCTGAAATCCCCCTTCCCCACAACTGTTGTCTATCGTTAAATACAAAAAAGGAAGACAAGTGGGCAGATGAGAGTGAAATGGATGGGAGAAAGAGAAACAACAGGCAAAGGAGCCTTTTTACGCAGCCTCATTCTCTTACCTCGTTAACATAGACCCAGTGACTATCCTTTGAAGCCAGGTTGGTTTCCACTGCCTAGAGAAAGGAAAGAAAAGAAAGAAATAAACAACTGAAAATAAAATAAAGGAGTTGGAAAACACTCCCCAGTTAATGTATGCCTTGTGCTACAAAGAGCTTAAAATAGGTATTTTCTGGCACTTTTTGCTCTCATACAATAGTTATATAATTGGCAGTCATCTAAAGAGCTACATACTTCATTGTGAATTAGATGGCTACCTCCAGTTGGGCAGCTCACAAGGACACAGCACTGCAGCATCAAAGATCATTTATTCAGTATAGGAAAATCCAGAAGGATCTGGTTTAATTCTCTATGGTGTATATAAATCCTGTGATAGTGTTCCTTAGGGCTTCCTTTATTCTTCTAACTAGGACACTGACCAAGTACGGGATCAATGCAATGAATAGGTTTTTTCTGGCTTCAGAAAGAAGGCTGAAACTGCACATGATGTGTCAGGCTAAATTGATGGATGCAAAACAGCAATGTGATGCAGAGGGGGAAAGGGCTTCAGAAAGAAGCTGACTTGTTAGTATTTCATATATCCAACGGTGGAGTACTAGTAAGTGATTTCACACAGTGTGTTGTGCAAATTGCACCGATTTCCCCAGGACATGTCCCAATTTCCCTGAAGGAAAGCTTGCCCAAATATACCCCAGTGCCCCACCCCCACATCCCAATGTGATCAACCAAATATTGGTTGAGCAAATTCTCCTGTCCAATTATTACAGGCCATCAGTACAGCACACTGAAGTGAGAAACATTGCTTTACTAATGAAATACCAGCACCGTAAGCAAGTCCATGTTTACCCATCAACGAGATTTCCTGGAAGTGGAACGTAAGTTAAGAGGAGCAATATGGGTTGCAGACAAAGAATGCTCCCCCTCCAATATTGTGATGATCCTGCCCTGTTCTTGCTTCGTCTACATTATCTTGCTTTTCTCTTATTCTCTTTTGTGACATCCACCTTCCCTTTCATATTCTTCCTTTCTGAAGAATATGAAAGGGTGGGGAGGCAGTCATTTAAATCTGAGGTTTTGAGAAAAAAAATATTTGGAAACCCTCTTGCCTGTCAGTGTGGAGCCTTTTTGCTACCAGTGTTGCGGTGGTGAAAGATCTGCTACCAGGAACAGTAGAAGCCAGCAAAAGGGTGCACAAAATTGGATACAGGTTTCAAAGATCGTCTGATCTCCCAGCTGGTAACCTATCAGCTAATGGTGGCACAAGACATAGCCAGAGAGCTGTTCATTCCCTGCAGATTTTACTATTCTGTAACTTTGCATGAGTCTGGGCAGCACTATCTTTTCAAAAGAAAAGCACACCACATGAACATGTCATTTTTTTTCACCTAAGGGTGTCTAAGTATGTCAGAACAACAGTGGCTATTGTTGCAGAAGCAAAGCTTAGTTATTCATCCTGTGCTATTCTGTATAATATATGGTTCGAGAGATTTAAAAATGGATTTTTCCTCATGGAAATGTTTTAGAGTATGTACAAAATGACTCAGTCATTCCTATGGTGTGTGTGTGTGTGTGTGTGTGTGTGTGTGTGTGTGTCCATTTCTCATAAAATTCCCCGAGGCTCTAGACTTCATTCAGGACTAATGGCCTGCAGCATTTCCTCCCAAAAAAGAAACACAGCTTTTAAGTCAGATAGTGCATTAGAAAGTGGAGACTTTCCAGCTTTCATTTATTTCACCTTAAAAATACCCAAACAAATCACTTCTGCAAATTTAGTACAAAAAGAAACACATTGAAACAGATGCATTTCCCTTTGGTTGCACCTCAAACAGATTTTAGGAAACAGGTTGATTTTTTTATTTTAAAGGATCCCCATTAATTGCAGTCCATTAATATAATTCCTCATAATGAGAGGTAATGGATTGAATCCAGAGAACAGCAAACAGAATGTCTTGGAAGAACCTTTTGGAAGGGGGTTCTGCTCTGTCCTGGAAAGTCACTCCTAAGAGCTGGTCGGGGGCTCTTTGGAAAAGGAGGCTGATAGAGGAGGTGTAATCACCAAAAGGTGAACAGAGACACTAAGTGAACTAAAATAGTTAGCATGTGACATTGCATGGGTAGCCAAGTTTGTTGATGACCTCAAATTATTTAGGGTGGCAAAACCAAACAGCTCAAAAAAAAAAAAAAAAAAAAAGATCTCTCCAAACTGGAAGAATGGTCATCAAAATAGCAAATCTGGTTCAGGGTGAGCAAGTGTGAAGTTCCAGACAAACAAACAATCCATCTTCATATATACATTGATGGGATCTGAGCTGGAAGTGACTGACCAGTAATGGATCCTGGGGTTGTGGCAGAGAGCTCAATGAAAATGTCAACCCAACATTCTGCTGCTATACAAAAGGTGAATGTTAGAGGTCATTAGAAAAGGGTTTGACAATAAAACATCCAAAATCATAATGACTTTATACAAATGTGTGATGTGACCACACTCTGAATGCAGTGTACAACTGCCCTGGGCTCCTTTGGAAGGACAGGATAGAAATTTAATTATAAATAAACACAGGTCTGGTTGCCACATCTCCAAATGGTTATTGCGGAGCTAGAAAAGGTTAGAAGAGGGTGACCAAAATGATCACTGACCTGGAAAAAGTCCTCTGTGGGGAAAGGCTACAACACTTAGTGTTTTTCACTTCAGGAAAAGGGAAGTACAAGAGGCCATGGTAAGAGTGTTTAAGTATGCATAGTATGGGGAGAAAGGACACAGAGTTGTTTTTCTTCCACCCTCACAGTACTAGGACCTAGGCTCATCCAATGGAGCTGAAGGGTAGGAGTTTCAGGAGAGACAATACTACTTCTACAACACAGCATATAAACATGGAATTTGCATAGTGATAGCTGCTAACCTTGGTGGTTTTAAAGGGGGATTAGATAAATTTACGGAAGTTAAGGCTATCAATGGCTGCCGTTCATAATGACTAAATATTACTTCAAAATAAAAACAAAATGCTGAACTAGATGGGTTGTTGGTCTGCTCTTGTAGGGCTATTCTTATGTCACCGTCAGAGACAAAAATAAAATCAGGGCTTTTTTTCCCAGCTGGAACTCAGTTCCAGCACCTCTCAGGTGGGTGCCATTGTTATTATAAGAGAACCAAAAAGGCGTTCATTATGAGTTCCAGCACCTATTTTTCTAGAAAAATAGCACTGCAATTAATATTGTTGCTACCACCAAATGTCACAGAAGGCAGAATTCCAAGACAAAATTCTAGAATTCTACTCAAGCAACATCTCTGAGGATCCTTGAAAGAAGCAAAACAGGTTTTGATAAACCAAAAATCTTTCTCATGGGAGTTCTACATATCCCACAGAAGATACTGGTATATGTCGTTATTCAGGTTATGCTGTGGTCACCAGCTGCCTCTCACCAACACTGGATATATATAAATAGTGGTGGAAGTCCAGGGCTGATGAAGAGATTATCTATGCAGTAGGCCTGGCTTGCAGTTGCCACAGAAAATGTTGAGTATTTGGAGGTTCGCGCTCAAGTGGAAAAGCTGAGGCATTTCAAAGGAATCTGGAAAGAGTTTCAGTGATAACAGACTCTCAGGAGGCTTGAGCACAGTTTCCAGGCAGATAAGTGAACATATAACACAACAGATAAAATGGTATTTCACAGCTAAATTAAAACTTCATGTTCTCAAAATTTATAAACCGCATAACTAGTTAATAAGACACAAGAAAATGTATGCAACTGCATTAGAAAACTACGCTCCCTTTGAAAGCAGTTTGGGCACATCCACATTTAGTGTCTCCATCTAAATGATCAAGATCTTCCGCCATGGAAATGAGATTTACTCTCATGATGGGCTGCCATGATTTATCATACATTCTACTCTGCTCTTATTAGTATAATCTGGGACAACCAAAATTTATGCTGAAGGGAGGAATAGAAACTTGTCAGCTAGGCTGATCTGCCGACTGGATTGATGTGATTTACACCTCACCCTTCATCTCTTTTGTGATCCCAGGGTGGTTTTCAAAAAAGATAAAAGAAAAACACATCAACAATTAAAATACAGCCAATTACAATTATTTTTTAAAAATCGAGCAGCAGTCGATAGTAAATATCAACTCAATGCCAGCAGGATACACACAAGCAACACTACAAAATAAAAACCAGAGGTCTTGAAACATTTACTTTTCTGCAGTTACTAACAGTTCATTCCCAATACTTACTGCACTAACACATCTGTCCTTACAGTGGGATAGGCTGGCCATAAGATTTGGAAGTATGCATCAGAGACCACACAAATTTCACTAGAGCGAAATTGAAAAATTATATTTATACCTGGTTGGGCTCTGCAAGTGGTGCCAAGTCTGGGGTATGTGGTTTTTTGTTTTTGGCAGGGATTGGAGAGGCACAGAGCCTTAGCACTAAAACAATTTATTCTCCTAAGCTTAAATAGCGTTGAAAGGTTTGCATCTAGCATGAAAGCAAAACAAAAATCAACCAGCCAGCAAGTCTTCCTGCCTTTAATGCAGCTGGCATTCCACATTTACACACATTCCATTTCACCTCTGTCTTTACGGAATAGTAAATAAAGGCAAATTCCTGTACATGGATATATTCCAAGAGCTTTCAGTGAGATTTCATTTTTACAAAGCTCGATATGTCGTAGATTATTTATATGCATGTTAACTATTGAACAACTACATGCTACACAGTCATCGATACAAGTTAATTGCAGCGCTGTCGGGAAGGAACATTTATTTAAAGTCACTTGCTTAACATTCTCTTAGGGGCTTAGCCTGCCAGGGGACTTTATGTTTGGGATCTTAGCAACATGCCTCATGGCTTTAAAGACATACTGATAACGGAGTATTATGAGGGCCAATTGCTGGCTGCTTATTTGCATGTGTATTGCTCTAGTAAAGCAGAGGGGGTTGCAGGTAGCTTTTTAAGGGCTTTTTAAAACACTCAGTACAAAGAGCATCCCTCAGTATTTTCCAAACTTTATATTTTCTGCAGAGATGTATCTGCCAAGGAGTCGTTGCAGGCC